AAAAACCCCCAACCCCCCCCCCCCCCCCCTCAAAGGTCGATTTTCGCCAAAGAAAGGCCAAATCGGCTGAAATTTTCCGGATATGTTGGGACTATAGCGGGTAGTCTACGATAAAAATTTCAGCCCGAAATATGTAAGTTTAAGGGAGTTATAAAGTGAATACTGGTTAAAAATGGCCCATTTTCCATCCAATTTCTCATGCCTTCAACTATGTTTTTCGAATTTTTCTTTTTACCATTCGATAGAGCATGCAAAGATGCAGGGCATGACGTGCTCGGATTTTTAAAAAGTCCTTTCTGTAAGCTGAAAACGTTTCCAGAATTCAAATTCCTTGAAAAACGCCTAACAAACTGCATGTAAATTTTGTAGGCGATCTTTTTTTTGGCATAAAAAAAAAGCTTTTTCAAAAATCAGAGCACGTCATGGCCTGCATCTTNATCACTAAAAATTTCGGGCAAAAAATGGTCTTTCGAAAAAACCTATAGTGATTCTGAAAGAGCAGAACATGGGCTATCACCCCATGGTGTTATCTCAATTTTCAATCTTTTGACGAAAATCGACTTTTTTTTAGGGGGGGGAGGTCATAATAAGTTTATGAATATTTTAAATAAATTAGTAGAATAAGGATTTCAGCCTCAAATGATTCAAGTATCATTCAGGTATCTTAAAAAATCAAACCGTAATTGGATATGAATTGCTTTCTACCACACTTGCTACAATAAGGAGCACTGTTTTTAACAGACAATCGGATTTCAATAGAAAAAAGTATAATAGAAATTTAATTAGTATGATCACCATAATGGAAATAAAATAAACATTGTGATTGTATTACTTCTACCATTGCTTTAGATCAGATGATGCTTTTTGTTCTATTTACACTCTCATCAGATTATCTATTGCACAGATATGCATTATACACGAATAAGCGATTTCAAGCAACACAATACGTCAGAACCCTCTCGACTTCTTTCACACACATACGTCCACTTCTATCTAAATCTACAACAATACTTGATCTACATAAACATTATTCCATATCCAGAGACGTAGTTATGTTTAAGAGCTAGTGTTGTGAAATTAACATCCATGTTACCATTTGGCATTTTGAATTTTTTTAGAGGTTTATTATCATATTATTTACGTAAAACTAGAAACCTAATTATTCTGAACATTTTTTTTTTTGAAAAGCCAGTAATTTGCAAAGAGGCATACGCAAATAGACAATTGTAAAAATTATTAGTTTTTCATAGAAATAAGCTATTGCATTTTCTTTTTGCATTATGAGAAAATAGGGAATGGTTTTGATTTCGCACCGGCTGTTTCATGGGTTCAGATATCGTCGAAAGAGAAGATCTGAATACAAGATCTGGGTTGAATGTTCTAGTTTACTAATGCAGAGAATTCAAAGAAGAATTTTGTTAAACCAAGGTCACGCTTGTATTATGAAAACTGATTGAGAAAGCATTTATCGATCAACAGTTATTTATTTAATCAAGCTACTTTCTTGTTAATCCTTTTATAGGCCATTCGTTCTTTCCACCTTCTTCATACTTTTCAGATGACCGACTACTTTAGAACGCCATTATAATTCTCCCTTGTTATATTTTCGTTTCTCTAATTGCTTGATATCCAATAGCTGCTAGCATGACACCTGATCTGTCTGAAAACCTCAGTGTTAGTTACTTCTTACATAGTAAATTATAATCAAATTATTGATAGTTGGTTCACAGAAGCAGATAATTTTGTTCTGAATTCTTTTAAATGTCTTGCATTTTAGACTTGGTTAATGTCAATTTTGTTATCTTCTTTTTTAGAATATCTTGAAGTTGAGATTGTATGTAACAGGATACTTAGATCCCTCTCAAACTACACAAGCGCATGACATTCGCATTTTCTTCTTGAGTGTGAAGATGTTTGCATCGTTAATTAATAAGATTGGATAAAACCTCGTCAGATTGAATATTTCGATAGCAAATAAAAATCTTTAAAAAAGGCCACAAATACCGACGTGAAAAAACTAACACGTTTGAAATTTAAAATATTTAACAGTTATATATGGCGTTCAAAACTCGTAATTTTAATACAGTTTATGCATTTTTCGTGTAATGAAAGATGAAAACTTGTCTGATTATGGAAAATAACGATTGCAATCAATGAACTTTTCTGTGGGAAAATTTCGCATGATTTATTTTTTTTAAATAATCACACATATCTTGCCATTTTTGTGAAATGCAGATAAATATCTGTGTGCTGAGTAACTTACTACCACGTATATAAACGATTTATAGGAATGAGATTAATTATTATGAAGATAAGCAAAATACATCTCGAAATTCAAAGTCGGGTTCATGTATATATGCCAACACAAAACCTCACGGATAATTCTTGATAATTGTTTAGATCTTCGCTGATTATAAGTAACGCAAAGTATTGGTTGGTATTGGTAGATTTTCATTGTGAAAATTGGCAATCTTTATGTGTCTCCAAATGGTATTGTTACATCCCTAATAATCGTCCTCATTATCAGAATGAATATTCATGTTTTGTATATGATGATAGGCATTAGTAAAGTATGGTAGTTTAGTTAAAAGCATCCTAAAATATTTGACAGCAATTGATAACTATAATAAAACAAAAAATGATTATTATATTTTTATAACTCAGTTTTTTTGTAAACGTCGATACTTAAGAATATTGAGTTATTATTACAAGTTTCCCAGGCTTGTCAATAAATCAAAGAGCAAAGTTTCGTCTTGAAAACAATGTGGTCTCAAGTTTTATTTTAATGAGAAAACGCACAGACATAAACAATTATTTAATATTATGATCAAGGAAATCAACTTGAGAGTTTCTAGTAAATGACAAATAGCATCTTTTCTTTATTCACTCGTTGGTCATTTAATTTCTAGTAAGAAGAAAGAAATCTTTGCTTTTCAAACAATAGATTTCAACTCCTCTTTGTTTTGTTCGTCAATGAATAAAACTTGTGAATAAAACTTGAGCTTTTGATTAAAATTCTAAAGATAAAACGAAATTTAACGTTAATATATCTGATTATTCAAGATGAAAATCAGCTATTGAGAGATAAAAAATAGCTGCTATGACAAAAAGATTTTATTTAACAACGTAAATATTCTTGAGAACATCTATTATCTCTAAGAATAAATGTAAATTGTTTTTTAATAAAAAATAAACAATATATTAATGAAACTGCATTGTATTTTAATTGAATGTATTCATATTTGGTCAAAACATTATTTTACTATTGTCATTGCAGTAAACATATGGAGTCGTGTTACATTTTGCCGAAACAAAAGTCAAACAGGTTTTCTTATATGTTTGATAATTCACCTGTCAACATAAATAAAATTACCAAATCCATAGGGGTTCACATGTCGTTCAGTTTCACAAAAATCATCACTGATCCACTGTTAGATTTTTATACATTCCAAAAATGAATAGCAGCAGACAGTGCAAACTACTGACACGTCTGTGTCATTAGTAATTAGAATTATTCCATATAGGTTCACCTGGATTTTAGATCCAGACCTAGAACATAATCTAATCGAACATGACCCGATTCGACATGACTGATTTCATTGTAAATTTGTTTTGTTTGATTTACGCGTTGATGTGATGAAGGAAAAAACGACAAACTCGAGACAGTAATTATTTCTTCAAAGTAAACTTTCTAGGTCCTTAATGCAATAATTTATTTAATTCCCCACAATAATCTGCCATCTACACCGGCCGTAGAAACATCTGTTTACAAGGAAAAACCATTCGCATCTAAGTGTTTGTCATGTCTACAATAGTATGGTCTCTTGTTAAGTTTAATTGAATGAAAACGGAACTCTAATGAATATAACCTTAAGAAACAAATAGTAATCAAATATTATCAAGAAAAAGCTTCGCAATGCTATCCCTGAGAGATTAATATACGTATATAAATCATATATTTTCTTTAGTTTTCTTTTACTGATACAGATTATATTAAGTGAAAAATCACAAAACAGACGATAAACTCTTTCCAACAATAACTGACTGTTCGAAAAATAATCTGTCGTACTTAGGTTTTGTATCTTGAGTCGACCTTTACTTTTTGTTTTATGTTCTTATGTATATACTGTACTTTTTGTTGTGCTGCCATGCGTCCGCTATTTATCTTCTTGTCTGTTGCGATGTTTTTAAATTACTACGCCTACTATATATTCACAGCAGATCGCAATATGAGATTGCCGATGTCAATAACCTTAGAAAAACTAATATAATCTATTCTCGAAGTTTAAAGCATAATTTAATTCATACTTTTTACGTTGGTTCCATGATAAGTTTAGCGAATCTAAAGACTACTACTGATCTCTCATTCCTTTTTTTTATCCCTATCAAATAGTGAGCCATACGCACAAAAATTTGAAAATTTATCCGAATTTCAACACTAGAAAATTATTCTGAGTTACTTAAATTTTAAGCAACCCTTCGAACTATTCTGAAAACGTCTCATTCAAGCCTTTGCTAACGCCTTCGCTACTGTTTAGCTATTGGTTTCTGTCGTCCATGAATTATCGAAAAGGAGTGTAATTTGTACAGATGGATCGTTAATCAGGTTTGTTAAGTCTGTCGTAAGTGTCGTTATTTGAATTGTTGTAGTTATAGTTGATGCTAAAACCGTAGATGTATGACCTCATCGATACTCTCTCCTTGAGTATGATTAATTTTAGAAGTAAGATTTGAAAAGAGTTGAAAAATATTGTTTCATTTACATTACACATTATGTTCTGTTGTTAAATATCTAAGTTACACTAATTGATTTGATTTCTTATCTCAATTTTTATCTTTCATATTTTATGAGTACATTCGATCTCATGCAACTTTTGAGACAATTGACGGCTAAGAAGACATTTTTCATGTACTGCAAATGCTTCTATGCTAATGCATTTCCGATCAAACACAAAGAAATATTTTCCTCCCAGCATGATGATAATGCCAATTTTAAAGACTATAATCAATAAATGTCATACAATCAATCCGTTGAACTTATTTTCGAAGGCTTCGCGAGATAAAAACATTAAATCAAACACCCTTGTTTTCACTCACGGAAGGAAATACTTTCGAACAGTTTATTGTCAGAAGCTAGCTCAATTTTGCGTATATCGAAGATTTCATTATGAGGCAATCAAGTTAATTTTTTACTAATCTTTGATCCATATGGAAATGTTTACTCGTCGTCCCTAGTAATACGAGCATAAATTGTTTGCTTCCAGTATCTTAATTGGCTCTATTATTTAGTCTTCTGTAATTCCCTGTATGTAGCCCATGATGAATTGTAATTGATATCTAACAATTAAAAAAACGTACAAGAAGAATCGTGATTTCATTTTTATTGGAATTTCATGCAGTTCTTTCATATTTGTATACCATTAGACATGTTTTTCTTTCGACTCTTTGTTTTTCTTCTACATTGATTTGATTAGGCCGCAAAAATATGTTAGCTTATAGAATTATTTAAAATGCGCTTTCAAAGAAAAACGTCCAGTAAACATTGTTGAAAAGATTCGCTTGTTTTTTCAGAAGAAAAAATGTTTTATTTCATCTAAACATATGGATTCGATTCATGATACTTCAGTAAAGATGAAATCTTTTTCTATTTGAATGTACAACATTACATTTGCTATGCTTTAGATTATAGAATGTCATCTGTAACACAAGCTTCATCAACTGAGGTATGTGAAGAAGAAAATTTGGCTATTTTACTAGCACTATATTTGGTTATCTATTTGATAATTGGCGCTGTTATATTTGCGGTTGCTATGTATTCTCTTCGCAGATGTTTCGATAAAGTCAAATTCCCCGATGGAAATAGTAAGAAGAAAGTAGACAACGAAGTATCGCGTACCAACAGTCGAATGAGCCTTGTTTCGCGAGAAAAACATCGAATCAATATGAAAAAAGACTGAATACGTCCACATTTTTCTTCTATTATTAAAAGGAGAGACCTAACTATCAACAGAGATGAAGCTGTATCGTATGCTAAATAGACCATTGATAGTATAGTCCATCACGAAGTACTCTGATGAAATAGCACTGAAATGAAAGATAACGACAAAATGAAAGGCACAATTCTTCTGAGGATTCGATTTTGATCGAGTTTCATTTTTGTGCAACGAGACAGATATTTCTCTTGTTGACAGTAATGTGACAAAGAACCGGAAATTCCCAAACAATTAGTAACAATATTATTTCTCTGATATTGAGAAAAATACAGAGAGAAAGCACGACTTTTGTTTTTGTATAATCAATCATTCGCGAGTATTATAGATGAGTCAATGATACGTAATTTCGCGCATATAGTAGTGAATCATAAGATTTTCATAATAAGTTGTTCAATAAGTCAAATGGCAATGAATTAGTGTGAAATAAACTCTGTGCACTATACGAAATTCTTTTAGGTACTGTATGATTATTTATTTGTCACTAAAACAGATCTTTACTGAAAACTACTTGAGGCTAAAAAGAAAGCAGTAACAGATAATTATCAAAATACTTGTTTGTATACTTGAAATAAATGCAAAGATAATTATAATTTTCAGTAAATGTCATGCTGAATAGTAGTTAGAAGAAGTGCTTAACAGATAAAAAAAAAAGAAAGCTAGCACGTTAGCCATTAAACTCTAACAACTTATTATTCATCCATCATTATGAATTCTACAACATAGAAAACATTATCGCTAACCTATTTCTTTTTTTTTCCTTCTATCTTAGAAAACTAATATATAAGAAATGCATATGCGATCAGTTTAAAAGAAAGTTTTGCAAAAAATACTATAAAAAGAAAACAGAATATTCCTCCTTCTCTCTTCTTATTCTTCTAATGCAGCAGTTCTTATTAAATTCCATTACGAGATACTTTTCTTCTCATCATTTGTCCTTAACATGCAATAGTAATTCAGCTTCTCATGATTATTTCGACTACATTTACACAGTATTTGCTAACAACCCGCTGTAGGAAACTTACGTAGATACGTTTGTTTTTGTCTCACCATGTATTAAAATTATCCAATTATTCGTTTTAATTAACGACGAAACAAAAGAAACAATATTTTCTGTTTCATTTTTAGTCTTGATTATAAAATGAATATCGCAGAATATATTAGTAACTCAACCAATAATAATCTTTCAATAACTTATCAATACATGTTGACAACAGTTGGAAATTCATTTGTTAAACTTGATTATTTGAATCATACTATGAGAAATAATAACAATAATAATAATAGAAGTGACTTTGCTGTGGATTCAGAATATCTTGCAATGTTTCAAAACTTAATAGCAATGGCGTCTAGAAATCAAACGTCAGACAAACCCTACTCAGATTCACTATCATCGTCGAGAAATAATAAATCTTATGATATTTTGTCAATTTTATCAGTTGGCTTTGTTTTAATTGTTAATCCAATTGTGGTAAAAACATTTGAGATAAAAATTAAAAATTGAATGTTTATTTCTTTCTTTTTTGCTGTTCTCTTTAGATTCTATTTGGTGTTACTGGTAATCTTTTAGCAACATATATTTTAATACACTGTAATATTGCTAAATTACCGGTTTCATTTTATACCATTATGCTCAATATATCGGATACATTAAATTTATTAGTACCAGTTTTTATTTTTTGGCTTGACAATTGTATTAATCGAGCACTAGAACAAGGCTATTTTCGTGATAGATCAAATTGTCTTTGGTGAGTGTGCTAATCAATATTCTATTGTTTGTTTTTTGTATTGAATACTTTATTGTTTTCTTTCTATTAGTAAAACATTAATGTGCTTTGATCAGTTATTTGCAACATTAAGTGCTTGGTATATGTGTGCGATTTCATTTAATCGTTGGTATTCAGTATGTCGGCCATCATCATATTTTTTTCGTATAACAACATCGAATTTGTGGGGATCAACATTTGGAACAACAAATAATAATACAAATTATATTAATCGCGAACAGAAAAAGCAATCATCTGGTTCAATAGGAGCACAATCATCTTCACTTTTCGTACCATTTTGTTTTCCTATGAATTGTTGTTCTTGTTTAACACATAATATCAAAGTTCAACAACATTTACAAGCATTTCGCAGTATTGCTTGTATGACTTTACTTGGTATATTATTTTGTCTTTATCCCATTTCTATGAATGAACTTCAACCTTTTGTATCAACAAATAAATATAATTTTGGCTTAGAACATAATAAATCTGATAGCGACGCTCCTGTTTGGTATCGATGTTATGTTAATAAACGACATGAGTATGCTTATGATGTTATTGGTATTGTATTATCACTTTTTTTACATATATTACCATTAGCATTCGTTGCTGCAATGAATGTAATGATTATAATACGATTAAAACAACGGCAATATCGTATGACTGTTGCATCAAATTTCTTACAAACTCAAACATTAGCAAAAAAATCAAAACCAATTAATAGTCTAAAAAAAAAACTCACATATCAATTGAATTCTTTGCCCAAAAGCAATCGTCGTTGCAAAGAAAGAAATTCAATTCGTTCCCAACCAACATTAATTATTAATAGAAAAGATCAAGCAACATCAACTGATTTATCAATTCAAACATTTCATCTACCAAGTCAAGCATCAATTAAATCAAATGATATGAAAACACCAAGAAGACATCATTTAAGAGATCGTACAATTACAATTATGCTTGTTAGTGTAGCATTATCTTATTTAATATTAACTCTTCCTTATCGTTTATTTTGGTCATACAACGTTTATTTAAAACGTGTGAAACCAACGATATTACAGTCATCCTTATATTTATCAAAAATGCATTATATCGATCATGTTCTTCGTACCATACGTAACATACATTATGGTACAAATTTCGTTTTTTTTATTTTTCTTTCAAAAACGTTTCGTCGTAAGTTTCGACAAATATTTATTGAGAGATTTTTTCAAGCAACAAATCGTTTATTTCATCGAGATTCTACTACAATACATACAAATCATATAATTTATTCGAAAAGCAATCGTCAACGACAATCAAACTTAAAATCAGAAAGGAAACGAAATTCCAAACTAATCTCGGGTGATCAAGTTGTTGGAATAGAATCTTTTTCCAGAATTATATTTGATGAAATGCCCAGTCTAAATGGTGATGTTCGGATGAAGGAGAATGAAATTATCCCAATCATAGTAATTCAAAGTAATAAACTATCACAATATGATGATGGATGTGCAATGAATGATATCATTTAATTAAATATTCAATGATTCATGTTGCCGCTTCCGTTTGACTGATTCCTTAAAGAGTCTACTCTTTTTCGACGTCATGCAATATGTTCTAGTTGATGTAAAAAGTCTCTCAATAAGTCGTCCTAACATGCCTAATCATTATGTTTATTATCCTAAATTCATGAAATCTATTTTTTTTTAAATATTTAATATTAATATCCTAATGTAATAAAATTTGGAATAAATCTTGAATGAAACTAATAAGAATTTAATACTATATACTCTGAAAAAGAATACAAGAATTGTTAAAAATGATTTATATTTATTTATAGATTATCAAGTTTATCTGAGAAAAGCATTGAAATGCATGTAGAATTATTCTACAATGCATGATAATTGCATTGATCTTAGAATTATTTCTTGCGATCTATAATTTGTAAAATACGATATTTCATAATGAAAAACTAAATTCAATAGAAACATATTCTATTCATTTACAATCCATAATTAATACCTCGATTTTGTTCGTTAGCTACAAATTGAAATGAGTTGTTGAAGCTTACGTCTCTTGTCACTGATTGTAACAAGCACTTTTATTCTACGCAGATAGATTTCACTACATTGCTTCATTATACACAAGTGAGCTTGAAGAAAAAAAGAGCAATATGAAAGTAGAACAATATTAAGATAAGTCAATCTAGCTGTTGAACTAAAATAAATGTTGTGTTCAATTAGATTGTTTTTTCACATTATTAGGGTGTGGGGTGTGGGTTCGGATGTGAATCTCTCCACCAACACTACCACCGGCACTAGGATGTGGGTGTGGGTGTTGATCCTGTGTCCAACCGCGTCCGACACCCACACTCACACCCTCAAGATTCATGAATCGCTGTTCCTAAAAATACATTATTTTATTTCATTATACATGAAAAGATCAAACAATAGAAAGAAAATATTAGAAAAATATTTACTAAATACGATTTATTTGTTCGAGAAAATTGATTTTCTCCGGGGAAAATTTCTGGTCGATTTGAATCCTATTCAAATAGTGTCTTTCAAGTAGTGTGATATTATCACTAATGGAACAGATGAAAGAATATTCTAATGCAGTTAATTGAAGTCATAATCTGGAAAAAATTTGCATGTTGGATCAAAGTTTTATAAATCACTTTGAAGTAGTTTTCATGACATTATCATTAAAAAAAAGAACTACGCAAAAACAACTTTTCTAGATCAAAATATCGTTCTTTCTGCTTATCATAAAGAGCAAAACACTGACATAAACATGTGTCCAAGTTGAAGATTTATTTAAGAGAAAGAGAAATTTTGAAACATTCATAATTTTATCTACTAAAATTTTCGAATTAAACGGTCCATGAATCTAAGATTAACATTCATATTTTAATCATATATATTCATTATTTACAACATGATAGAATCTTCCCTATTAATTCTTGATTACAAATGTAACAAAAAGGCTGATTTTTTACTTATCAAAGAACAGTATATTGTCATTGTCATCATAATTAACATTTTCATTTTTTAAGTATATTCATTATGTTGAATTAATATTTAGGATACGAAAAAAAATTAAGAAAATTTAACAGAGAAAATAATATTTCTATAATAGTTAGGTTAGAATGAAAATTGATTAGAAATGTTTTAGAAAGTATGAGTGCAACGTTATATGCGGAAAGCGTTCTAATTCCATCCGGGGATGTAACGCCCCCGCTTGCGTGTAACCTATACATAATATTTGACCTTATGGTGCCATTTATTCTCATCAAACCTATTTCCTTTATCGTTCTGTCCTTTATATTTGTCTTTATCTATCCTTCTTCTTCGTTCTCTCAAATGGTTGAGTATTTAAGCGTGTGCTTTATATATAATCGATGCGATTTATGATTTGAAGAGTTAAATAAAGTGTAATACCATCAACACAGGCGTCTCTTCTATCTAAAATCGTCACAATGAGTTTCGCATTCGGCAAACATCAAAGCCACTCAAGTAAAGAATGATTTGGTTAGTTTTTGAAGCGAGAGGATTGCATAATATTAAAGTTAAGTAAATTATGAAAACGGAAAAAAAGATAAAAAATGATGACGCTGATGATACCCGTGAAATGAGAGAATTTGACTTGACGGGCTTGATGAAAATTTTTAACGCTTTTGATTCGGTTTCCGATTAACAAGACCTTGTATGACCTTTGCTATGAGATTTCCTGACTTAATATGTCTCATTAGAGTACTTGGCTGGTTCAATTCTAATCAATGGCCTGCATTCAATCAGCGGATGTATACATTTGTTTGTTTTAATTATAAAAAATAGAATTTTGCCTTTACTAAAATGGTTTCAATACAGTACGATGACTTCTGAAATATTCAAAACATTCGGATTTAATATTGAGAAAATAGCAGAAGTAGATTCTTGTTGAATAATGAATAGTTTAATCCATGGCGAGAAACCAGACGGTAAGATCTTACAAGAATCGTACGTTTGATCATATCTGATCTGATAAGATCAGACGAAAAATCGCACGAAAAATCGTCGTCTCTGATTTCTGACACTAAGTCGTATCAAAAGATTCTTGAAAGGTTCTGTTACCCATGAAATATCACTGTGATATTTTAATTAGACTAATATCTCCTTAAAATATCACGACAAATTTGTATTGAAAATAAATTGTATGTGCGATCTTTAAAGAAAATATAGTATGATCTGATGCAAGATTTCAGAGACGACGATCTTTTGTCTGATGCTGATAAGAGTTCGTTCGAATTGTGAGATCTGACGTCCGGATTGCAAGATCTTACGTCAGATTTTTCGACCTGGGATGAGAAACAAAACTGTATGTTCTCATATACAAAGACTTTACAAGATGATCCTTCGAAATATTTTTATGCAATTATAGTCAAATTTCGAACTGGACATTATCAAGATTAACAATAGCATTTGACTATCGTTTTTATCGTCGAATCATGCATATTATACATGTTTTTTTAAATAGTAAAGTGCATCGAGTGCACTCGAATGCCTCTTTTCGACAATAGGGCTTTTCCCGTTTGCTGACTTTCTTGTTTTTGTCTATTTTAAGACAGTGTCTACTCTATTCTATTCATAAATGTCTTGTTCAATAATGAGTGTTAATTGCACACCGCAGATGAATGCACACAATTAATTTTCTACAGAAAACCATAGAAGATTCTGCAGTTGACCATCTATTTTTTGTGATGCAACACGAACGAAAATCATAGTATTAAAATCGAATAATGTTCTAATTTCGAATACTATTTTCCATGCGAATGAATTGGAGAACTCCATTTGTTTTCAGTAAGTCAAGATCATCAATTTGAGATGAAGTTCCTTGTTATCTTAAACTAAACACTCCATATTAATCATTCAATAATTATCATAATATTACTATAGAAAAACAAACATAGACAACGATCATGGACGGGGAGTACAAGCAGACTGAACCTATGGATGGCCTGTGATGCGTAGTAAAGATCAGGAGTAATTTTCATTGTAACTGCTGTCAGCTTGAATTGGCATTCCTGATTTAGTTTCTGTGCCTATTTTTATTACAAGCTAACTATCTACCTTGAGTTTTCTTTGTTTCTAGCATCTAAGATGCTCTTATATAGATATGATATTCTAGAACACATCAAGTCATAAATAATTTCTATTCATTTGAACTTGTATTTATTGATCGAATACCATAGAATTTTGTTTTTCGCACATATTTTATGGGTAACTATTCGTTGTTTAACGTGGAATTTCAAATCTTAAAAAGTAGAAGCACATCGACTTTGCAATAAGATATTCTATTCGGTCATATGAAATCTAACTTGTGGATAGTAGCACAATTGAACAGTATCATATATTGAAAACATCGATTTTGAAGTTTTCGATACGAATTTGAATAAAAATTATTATAAGAATTTTATAAGACGATACAGAACAATTATTCAAATTACAAAATCATACTCAAATATTGACACTACTAATGATTATGTCTACTGATACTCTTTTAAAGCTTATAAACAAAAAAAAATATTAATCGTAAGTTATATCAATATGAACTGTTTGATTGGTTCACAACTTATAAAGTTTGAATTCTTTTCTATTTTGAAAAAAAAATAATTTTATTAAATATGTTTTCTTTATTATTTTGACTAGAATAAAAATATCATTGCCTATTGAATATCTTTTTTGTTATTTCTTGATATTCTCCGATTCGATACATTGTCGTTTAGCTGACACTAAACAATAAGAAAGAAAAATTAGTTATAATGGATCCTAGGAACATGCTTTTGTTTCTCTATTACTTTGATTGTCATAATCAGAACATGATCGCTTTTGAAATGATTTTGTCATTTTTGGTACATCATATTGTTCAAGCCATTTATTTAATTTTCCAAATATCATGAAGCGTAAACCATTCTAGGTAAAAGAAAGCTGTCGCTTCGTATCAACTTTAAATTTCTTTCGTTTTTACTTGAGCTTCATGAGTAATATTATTTCGTTCTTGATTAGTCAGCTTATCAAAAATATTGTTTATTTCATCTGTTTGCCAGGGCATACGTAAACCCGGTCCATCTTAATGAGGATAATAATATTATCAGTAATATAAGAAAATTAACAAACCACATAAAACTAAACCACTGGATAGATATTCAAGAACTCGTCGAAATACGCCAACAGTTGATACAGATTTCGATAAAGCATGTGCGACAAGAATTTCAATGACCTATGAAATAGTACTATTGAAAACAAATCGAAAACAACTAGCTAATAGATTTTACTTCCGATGGTAACGATTTCCACTTGACTAAGACTTTTGTTTTATAACGTAAGCAGCGGATTAATGCTGGTGCATGTTTTTCAGTACTAATATGACTCTAAATATTTCAAGAAATAAAAAAAATAACATGTTACTTTAACTGTTTCACCTGAAACCATTGAAATGAATTTATTGCAGATAAAGCTTTTAAACAATTTTTTCTCGATAAAAGTTGTTCAGATGTTTGAGGATTTTGTTGTTTTTGAATAGATAACGAAGTAAATGAAATGGAAACAGACATTGGTCCTTCAATAGTATTTGTGTATACTCGAATAATTTCATCGTCTTTTTGACATAGAATATTTATTTGATTTTTCCATGTTTCCTATTCAATCAATTGAATTCATGTTTTGTTTCTAGTTTTAAAATTTATTTACTGACTTGAAAATTATCGAGTAGTGTAGAAAAGATTTTCTCAAAGAGATTCATTGTTGGCCATTCTGTACAAATAACAACGATGTGGAATAAACGATCACTTTTTATCAATAGATTTTTCACAAGTGCACCAATACGAGATAAACCTACCAACGGAGATTTGCTACTAAATTCAAGATAAAAAGTATAAAATCATAAAATTTAAATGTATATAGCATACATCACTGTTCCTAAAGTATCATTTGTTGTTGACGTTTGCACAAAACCGATTTGATTTGAGCAAGATTTAACTGCTGCTTCAACAGTACTGACGAATTGTTCGATTATATCGAGCTAATGGTTTGATTTTAAAATAAAAAAAAACATTTTTGGATGCTTCAATAATAATAGTTCACTCTATTTTGATAGTGTGATTGTTGAAATGGAAGATCAAGACTTTCAATTTATGCTGAAATGATCGAGTGATATGAAATGAGTTTTCCCCACTTGTCTCTGGCTTTTTTTTATGTTCCTAATAACCATCAGGTCAAAACTGAATTGAGTTAGATATCTTTAGACTTTGTTTCATTTAATTAAACGATCTAACCGCGAGTTTAAACTTCAGAAGATTAAAATTTCAAAGATAATGACTTTTTACTAACTAAGTTCTGCGTTGGTATTATTTGTTCATGTAATTTCATTAAATATTTCGTGTCATCATCCATATCTAGTTCATTGATACTAGTTACTTGCCGATCATTCGTATTTTTTATAATTTCATTTGCATATTGTTGTGGATTTGATGAGTTACTATTACTATTATTATCAACTTGAATATTTGGATTAACTTTCTTCTATGAATAGAGTTAAAAAAAAAAATATAAACACTCTAAAGTTTGTCTTAATGCATGTATTTTTTACTTGATAAGAAAGTAAGTGACGTTTTCCTTTTAAATGTGCATCTCTTGTATTACACTCATTAAATATGCAATCACATAATTTACAATAATAAGATCTTGGATTATTTGCATCATCATATGATGTTTCAATATATTCAATACCGATCAGTTTTGTACTATTTCCATTTGATTGTTTAACTTCATTAATCATTACTGGTTGTGATTTATTAATAGGAACTAACTGTTGATTAACATTGTCCAGGTTTGTTTTACTTAATTTACGATGTAATTTTATAGCCTAATTATAATATTATGATTGTAAATCAAACAAAAACAGAAGAATATCATTCAATTACTTTATTATGTTTAGCTCCATTTAAATGTGCTTCGTAAGCACTCGAACTTGTACAATTTATATTACATAATTCACATCGACATTCATTCTGATACGTCGGTTGGTTTTGAGAAATAGCTATGTTTTTCTTATGTTTTGAACCATTTAAATGTGCTCCATATGAATTATGATCTCCGTATGTGATAAAACATGTTTCACGATCATGTATACGTGTTGAACTTGTAGAATTAGAAGAATTGTTCCGTGAACGACGATTGAAATTTGTTCGTGGCATACTTGATAGATGCTGACCAACCATTGATGATTCACATGGAGGAGTGAACGCCTTTAAAGTTGCAATAAGTGATTGATTTTGATGATTATAATCTAATTAAGAATAATATTATTATATAAAATTACGCGAATGAGTAATAAAAAAAAGGTTTATAGCTTTGTGTCTGCAATTTGAGTTAGATAATAAGTAACTGATATTTAGAACTTCTTACTATGAACTAGCCAATGTTTTACTTTCAAATATGATATTATATCACAGTGTGAAATATCTAACGTCAAGCATTATGTTAAGATATTGATGTTAGTGCGATAGAAGAATATATCGAGATTCTGGTTCTAACATAGATTTTGTTTTCTCTTTCATAAATTTAATGGAAATTCTTCAAGTTCTTAAGCTTACCATGAAATTGTGATTGATCTTGTATTGAAGAATACACAGGATAATTCCTGTATTGAGGCACCTGCTGCTAAACGAAGGCAAAATCTGAAAATTTGCATGCTCCCTATTAACAGAAGAAGTGTACCGACCTGTGAAAAAGGATAAGGAAATCTTTGACTGTAAAAAGACTGTCTGCGAACAAATTTCGAATAAGGTAATGTACTAAATACGAAAAATAAAATAAAATTTACATAGAACAACCAATGGCATACTTGTGGGTATAATAGTTCATTCTATTGTTGAACATGTTTTCCTTTTTGAATTAAAAAAATAATTAATAGAATGACAAAAAAAGCGTAAGAAAAAGAATTCCGAAAATCTATATCTCTTGAATATTGTTTCATGTGGATTATTTTATCCAATCACGTATCAAAAGACACCCAGCACCCTCTCTGGTTGATCTATTTGAATGGAAGAAAGATTTGACGACTCGTTTCAATACGACTCGTTTCAATACCGTTTAGGTATATATTTTAACTAGTCATACTTTTAGATAGAGCAACTATAGATAAGATCCGTATTTCTACTTATTATCCTTTTATCTGAAGCAATTCATGTATGTCCGAAAAGTTTTATTACGGAAGTGTCTTCGCCATGAACTTGGTATTAGTATTTTTTTGAAGTTTTAATTAATTAATTGACCTTGTTGTTTTGCTTTTTGTATAACAGACGTATTCATAAATCGTTGTTCGCAACCATCAAGAAGTTTAATAATACCTAAACATCAACATTCACGTTCATTTTCATTATCAAATAGTGTATCTACACGATCCGGAAATAATTCGTACACAATACGTGGCCTAGGACAAAGTTCAAAAGGTAGTTACGAAGAATGTATCTAAAATACCATCACTGTTTTAGAAAAATTTCACCTGTTACTCAATGATTCAAAGAAATATTTCAACAATGATAGACAAAATTGAAAGATGAATGAGTTGATTTGTCATCAAATGTTCGATCTTCTCTCAAGGACTTCTATGTATAAATTTGAGATATTCAAATGTTTTTGCATACCTAAACATCACCCTAGTCAAAGTTTTTTTTTCATGCGCTTGACCTGCACAGACTTCAACATTTGTCCATAGCGCAGGACTTTCTTGCTCCAGATCCTCTAGTATGTCATGTGCATCCCAACAGATGTTCGACTAGGACATCTTATTGATCTACAAAATTTTCAATCAAACCTAGTTTCATACAATGACACTAGATCTTAGTTTCAGACGAGAATCAAAAATTTTTGATTTTATATACTTTTCTAGTCAATGAAATATTTGTTAGATAGATAAGTACAAAAATATTTGCTTTGGTTCTATCATTTCTCTGTTGAACTAATGAAGAATTATCTACAAACTTATATGTTCTTATAGTTATTTAGAAAAGTAAATTATATAGTCATGCTACATTATAGAATACGAACGATGAAATCATTTAGAGTACATGGAGCGGGTAACGCATCTTTTTTTATTTATTGATAATATAAATAACTAAAATCAACTAACCTTTGGAGAATATTGAACTCGAAATAGTCTATAAGATACTTTCAGTCTAACAGAAAAAGATTAGTTATTATTCAGTGAATCCATCGAAATGCTAGGATAATATCTGAGTGAATAAAAGAAAACTCATAGAAAGATACGAATTTTCAACTGTTCATACTTATTTTTCATGCAACTTCGAGGAGAAAAAATTACGTAACTCACTCAAAATCCAATTGATCATAGATGAGCTGTCGTAAGAAATAACCTTGAAAATAAAATATGAAAAATCAAAAGAAAGATTTCAAATAACTTTATTCAAAGGTCATCGTTCTGTTTTTCCTACTGTATTTTGTAAGAGTTAATTCATAAAGCTTTAACAGTTTAAACATAAATAGAAATTATAGCCGATCACTAAACTTCACAGAAATTTTGTTATTAAGCTATGAGCATTAATTTAATCAGCATCGATTTAATTTCACACATATCTTTATGTTGCGAAATTCTACTCTCGACTGTGTTCTCTATTGTCGTATTTGATTTCAGGTGGAAATGATGGTTCCGGAAAATTAACATTTCTTTGCCCAAAATGTGGTAATATTTGCACACACATGGCAAATCTTGTTTGTAAGTTTATGATTTTCAATATCGCATGAATCTTTTTTTTTTCATTACTCATATTTAGCTTCAGCAAGATTTATAAAATGCGAAAAATGTAGTCACTTCTTCGTTGTTTTATCTGAAACTGAAGAAGCAAAAACAGTTAAAGAAGATAAAACTAAAAAGCGACAGCCACTGCCAACACCAAAAAAGGTTTAATTTTTTTTGAATATAAATCTTTGAATCATACAGAAATAAAATTTCATTTTTTTAGATATATGAATTTCTCAATAAATATGTAGTCGGCCAAGAGCAAGCGAAAAAAGTCATGTCGGTTGCTGTTTATAATCATTATAAACGGCTGCATAATAATCTACCAGAAACAAATACCACTAAATCTTCAGAAACTACATCTGAACCAGCAGATGGTGGGATTTCAAATCTGTCTAACCAACAAAAACAACGTAATACTAAATGAAAGGCTCATCTAACAGAGAATATTCGCGAAGTTAGTTATCTAAAAGCAAATCTATACATCTTTCATGGAGGTCAGTCTAAGCAATTAATTTCATTTTTGAAGTGATGAAGATCTCCATGTTTTAATTCATAAAATTCATTTTCGTCAATAATTCTAACAACCTGAATGTTTCCAATCGAATACATCAAAGAAAAAATCTACTTTTCGAGTTTAAAAAAACAATAGAAAGAATTTTCTACTGTGTTATCTCGATGTATTTCGGTTATTTATGACTTTTCACGATCAACATTTTCTTTTCTTATTTGACAAGATGTGTTAGATTTGTTTGAGGAAGTTTCTTATGTCTCGTTTTTCAAAATAAATCCGAAATATATTTATAAATGAACAGAAGCAATCTTTGACAGCGAAGACAAGTTCGTATTACCAACGTAGGAAAGTCTATCTAATATTTTTGAAATTAAGGAGAAATAACTTTCTTTTGTTTAGATTCGAAATTATTAAGTCTTATGAGTACTGATGGAAATTAGCTTTACCAAAAAAAAAGCAAATCGGAAGTCTCTTCTATCGCCCAAAAACAGCAAACTACTTTATTTGACTCAATCACAGTAAAAATGATAGGTTTTTTCTATGATGAGTAGCCTCCTGCGTACTTTCTCTATTGATGGAATTAGTGAAACCTAACTATTATTCTTGACAAGGGTTATCTCTTCAAATCAACCATTGTTCCCTGAATATATTATACTGTTTCTTTCAGTTTGCACCTCATTAGCTTCAATTAGCTAATTTTATGTAGATATCATCATTCAAATAAAACTCGACAATTATAACGAACAGATTCATACAGTTCAGAGTTGATTCTATGTCATAAAGTGTACAACTATGCTGAAATTTTCTAGAGGTTTCATCGTGAGAACGAGCAGCCTTCTTCATTTTTTCTCTAACTTCAAGATTGCTAATAAAAACTTTTATAATTAAAACAGAAGTCTTCACTTGAAAATACGCACAACAGTTTGTAAACAAACACTCTTTGAATTGAGATGCACATAGTAAAAATCGTTACCTTCTTCGGTGTAATCTCAATAATGCTAGTTTCTCTATGCCAATTCACTAAAATGAAGACTAACAGAACTGACTTTATAAAAGCATCTAAACATAGCTCAGTATATAAACGCGTGCTGCATGAAAGTTAGTTAAAAGCGCTTTTCGAGACTAGATATACATATATATGCCTACCTATGTACATTTTATTATTATTATATGTTTAAGGTTTTATTCTTAATGTGGGTATACCGTTTTACACAGTACCATATGATGCTACAAATAATAATCCCTCGCGAAATTCAAAGAACAACGAAGAGCCAAAGCATGGAAGTCATGTGATAGGTGATGAGAAGTTCGATATACAACTTGAAAAAAGTAATATCCTTATGCTTGGTCCAACTGGCTCAGGTAGATAGATAACATACTTGCGATTTGATTTTGTTTTTGATTATTTATGAATATTTGAGGTAAAACATTACTTGCACAAACCATTGCGAAATGTCTTGATGTACCATTTGCTATTTGTGATTGTACAACACTTACGCAAGCAGGTAAAGAATAAAGTTGAGGAAAATAAGAGAATATTTTTATAATATTTTCTGTTGAACAGGTTATGTCGGAGACGATGTCGAATCTGTTGTTTCAAAATTACTTCAAGAGGCCAACTATAACGTTGAACGATGTCAACAAGGTTTGAAAAGTTCATTTTCATAAATAATTACAGATATTCAGACAGTAGTGAATACGATTTTGGTATATTCGATGGAATGTTTGCGCATAGATGAATCTCATAAATATTCGTAGATATCAATTTAATATTATTAATATGTAATGTGAAATTGAATTCGTCATACGGAGAAGTATTAATGCCCATAGTACAGTCAATTAAATAAAATGCATCTTGCTAAAATTTTGTGGATCTTACATATACTGAAGCTAATCACTGATTTTTAATCATGACTATCTTAGACGAATAGTTTAGAAGAAGAAAAAATGAATTCCTCAACCTCTTCAACTCATTATGTTTTTAGTTTGATCTTTACAATGAAAGCTTCAGATATTATTACTAGTTAAAGTATTTCATTGAAATAGGATGTGCTACGTTTTCGACGCTTCGATATCATGAAAATGATTAGTTTAATGTCGAATAGTTTGAGCATATTGATTTCACTAGGAATGAATCTAAGAATTCCCTATCAATAAAATCCGAAAATTTTAGACTGAACTACTTCTAATAGTAATAAAAATCGAGATACATACAGGTGTACTTAGAAATGATAAGATATTCATTTTAATTGACTTCAAATAGAAGTATCCTTTGTCCGATAATCTGTGACCACTATTTTTTTTATTATAAAGGTATTATATTCTTGGATGAAGTCGATAAAATTGGTAGTGTACCAGGTATTCATCAACTTCGCGATGTTGGTGGTGAAGGTGTACAACAAGTATGTTAATATATATATATATATATCAATCAATCTTGGCTGTAATTTGTAAAAAAAAGTGTCTTTATTTTGAAAGGCTTTATTGAAAATGCTTGAAGGCACTATCGTTAATGTTCCGGAAAAAAATTCGAAAAAGATGCGCAGTGAAACAATACAAGTTGATACAACAAACATCTTATTTGTTGCATCAGGTGCATACACAGGTTTAGATAAAATAATAAGTCGGCGTAAAAAAGAAAAATATATTGGTTTTGGTACAACGACGCCAAATGAAGCCCCATCTCGTCGTCGTGCTACGCAATTAGATTTACATGAACAAAATAATGATAATGATTCAAAAATTGAAGAAGAAAATTTAGAACGGGATAGATATTTGCAAGAATGTGAAGCTCATGACTTAATCGAATTCGGAATGATTCCAGAATTTATCGGAAGGCAATTAAAAATAGAAAATTATTTATATATATTTGCTTATTGATTTATTTAGATTACCGATCATAGTTCCATTTCATAGTTTAAATGAAGATATGCTTGTTAGAATATTAACTGAACCTCGAAACGCATACATACCACAATATCAAACTCTGTTTAAAATGGATAAGGTAAAATCACTTCGTTAATTTGTTTGTAAAACTAAAAAACACAATAGGTACTTCATGGTTATCAGAAAGCTTTTGTTCATACTATACATACAGGTTTTATTCAAATTGACAGTCGATAGAATATCTGTTTATGCCTTTAGTCAGTTAGATCGTGTTCTGTATCATTATTGAATGATTCATATTATAATGAAATTCAGAGCTTAATTACAAATAAAAACGATAGTTTTATTTCGTTCTAATCTACATATAGAGTTTTTAGTTGGCCATGAAAAGTTTCGACAGGTTTTTGTCTTTACTTGCTGCTCTTATTGTGTTCACTAACAATCACATAAATAACATCACTTGCATTAGTTAGCATCTAACAATTTCACTCCTATCGAAAAGTAGATTTTCATATACTCTTTTTTTCTTTTTGAAAAAGCTCAATAGTGTCACATATTTCAATCATTCATTATTTCAAGTGAAAGATGTTCTTGTCCAATGAATATAAAAACAATATTTTACTTTAGAAACTCTTTCCTTCAACTAATACACGTGCTAGAATTGAAGAGATATGCATGAATTCAAGGTCAATAATACCTAGCGATCTGCAGTTTTCTGCTATTTGAAAACAACAAGAAAGCCAAACGTTATATTTTTGTTGAATACTAAATTAGTCAAAGCTTATTTGAAATTCATTATCATTTAAAGACATTCAATGATAGCCTTTTTTCAGCATACTTTGAATTTTACTCTATGTTTTAAACAGAAGAATTACAAAACTATAGTTCAATGCACGCGGTAGCTAAATATTTTTCTATATCACAATTCTGAACCTAAAAACTATCGCGTATCTACTAGGTTACATTATAGACAGAATATTTCAAGATGCCTAACATACCAGAAACGTGCAAATCTTTTAAAAATACTAGTACAATTTTTATCCAGCATATTTTCAAAGAAAAAGAGGTGCTTATCAATAGAAATATTCAAATAATTGCATTCATTGTTATATTTGCATTACTCATATGATTACAAAAGATAAAGCTTAGTTAACCAATAGAATCGATAAAAACAGATAACGAATTTAACTTCTTCGATCTCTGAAAAACTTAGATCAATAACTTTAATCATTTTTAATTTATGAATATTATATCGATTCGATTTTTATTCTAGTCCAGGCATGAAGAACCCGCACTCATTTTTAGGCTGTCATTTAAAAAAATAGAATTTATTTCGAGAATAGAAATTCTTTGAATATGCGCTTATTGAAGGTTAATCGAATATTCTTTCAATAAAATATTTCCACCAATTAATGAAACACCTATCATATATTAATATATATATATAATATGTTTAGGTTCAATTGGATTTTACCGACGGTGCTCTCCGTGCAGTTGCTAAAAAAGCTTTACAACGAAGAACTGGTGCTCGTGGTCTTCGTTCAATACTAGTATGTTACTTTTAGTCAATAAGCGTCGTCTATTCAATTAACCGTATATATTTTGAATCATAGGAAAGCATTTTACTTGAACCAATGTTCGATATTCCCGAATCAGATATCGTCGGTGTTCAAGTGGATGAAGAAGCTGTTAAAACCAATAAATGTGCCCAATATATTCGTTCGCATCAAGCAACATCCCCTGATGATATAAATACAAATTCTTCAGCGTCAATTGAAATTAAGAATACAGATGATAATGATAATAAAATTTCCATGCCAACCGGTTAGACATGTATATTATATACATATTATTAAGCAGTATATTACCTATTTATGCATATCATTATTTATGTATTTGACAGAGAGCAGCTTATCCTAGCTTGTTGATTATGTATTTCTTTAAGTAAAACAAAAACAGCATTGCTTGTAAATAAACATAGATTAAATATATATCCACATATATATATATATATATATATGTGTGTGTGTGCTCAATGAGCAAGACAAATAAAAATAAAATACATTTTGAAGATCAAAAAAATGATATCAGATTTAAGAAATTTTTTAATACTATCAAAATATTCTTTGTGTGCAACTAATATTGGCATCATTACAAAAGGTCACTTGTATAAACAAATAATATATATTCTATTGAATATTTGAGTTCTTTTTAATGAAATCTTGTTTCACGCAACAACTTTTCGAGATCTTGTAAATCAATGTCTAAATAAAACACAAAAGCTAGATATGGCTTTATATATTGTAGAACGATAAAAAAAAATCTGGATCTACTTGAATCATATTAGAAGAGTAGTGTATACATCAGAATTCGGTGCTATTTTTGTTCAACGAGACTATCTAATCCAATCAACATTCATCTATTACCAATATACCACTGTCTCGTAGGTGATTTTAATTTTCTACTAAACATATATTTGATAGTCTATTTTCAACATTATTATATCTGTAGCCATAAATTTTGTCATTTTAAATCGAATATTCAAATGGATAAATCGAAATATAGAAGGAAATAATTTTAATTAAAATATGGTTTGTAGATTAACATATTACACTTTGTTATATTATTATATGAATATGCACTTTATAGTTAGTTCATTTTCTTTGTTCATCTTGCGCTATAGTGACGTATGATTACCTCGATAAACATACGTTAACAAAAGAATAATAGTCAAACATATCAACAACATTTTGCTTTTGATTTATGCATGGCCCTTAAGCTTTTCCATGTAACAGTTAGAATTTCTTTTTCTATAATCGAGGTGCTATTACAGTTCTTTGTCTTTCTCGAACAAAAGATATGTATATCTATTTATATACATACAACTATATATCACCATCTATGAACATGATAGAGAAAGACAGTCCAGGTCCGTCATTTAATCAAATCGAGAAAAATCTAGCGAACAACAGAGAGAGAGAGAGAGATTCACACATAGAGCAAGTAATATCATCGTTACCAATAGAAAGTAGAAAAGTCGTGTTATTGTCGTTGTTCGACTTCATTTTGCATACAAATACGATCAGCATCGGACGTATACACACGTTATATAGATAAAAAAAGAATAAGGAGAGACGAGGACGATTTGCTATCAGCATTTTTATGCGTATTATCGGCATTTCCGTCGAATTTCCATTTAACTCCGAGATGAAACAGGTATGAAAACTAATCGTTTCGTTTCATAGTAATTATAGAATATCTGGTTTTTAATGATAGGTTCACTTGGCATTATTATTGTGTCTTCTATTGGCAATCAGTGCCACTGGACAATATCATTCAGGTAAGAAATCTATTCATTATTGTATTAAGATATAAATATAAATTTATATTTTATTTTTTGGTTTTGTTTTTGTTTTTTAGCTAACGTGTTAGGTCATCGTCTTGCTGAACAACAACTTGATGTAGGACAAACAGACTTGAGCGGTTATGCTGTTTTTTCCGATCCTAATTCTTTTGCAAATTACGGTCAACAATCAAACAGTCGTTTGCCAAGTTCAAGTCGTACAAACAATGTTCCACGTGTTAATAAAGAAGTATCCCCATCGGGTCCAAATTTTCAAGGTACACAACGTGATCAAACTTTTGACAATAATAACAATGTTGGTCAACTGACTATTGATAATAACAACAAACACGTCAGACCTTATGCTGAACCAACTGGCCCACCATTTGGCATTCAATCAACAGGTTATGTTTTAAGTTATCCAGAAGAAAAGCTTGATCTTTCAAAATGCGGACCAAGTAAGAATCATTGAAAAACAAAAGCTGAAAATTATGATGCATTATTCTTATTCCTTTCTTGTTTTCTAAAGAACCAACAACCAACCCATGCAAAATATCAGGCCCACAATATCATGCGTTATCTGGTTATCCACATTGTTATATTCATTGTTCGTTTGGACGAGTATTTATTAAACCATGCCCAATTGATCTTGTATGGAATACCCGAATTAATAGTTGTGATTGGCCAACAATTGGTTCTACAGTTGATAATGATGATAACTCCGCAATATATTATGACTCTCGTAATACCAATTATGAACATCTATACGGACGAAAGAAACGTTCAACAACTGAACGCAAGAAACGTTGCTTAGGTGGATATGAAGGAAGCTATCAATGCTCACTACCTCGATACGCATCCCAGCAACTTCGTAAGTTCTCTCATTTTAGATTATCTACGGAACATTCATCATTTTTTTATTTTTAGGAATACCGCTAACATCTTATAATCTACCAGGTCCAGTTAGTTTTCCAGGTCAAGTTGGATTCGCAGGTGTTCCATCTCAATTTGCAGGCTCACAATCACAGTAAACTATCGCAAGCTTACGAATCTTAGAATAAAATATTCATTAAATTTTTAGTTCGCAAGCAATGGCCCAACCAGCTGCTCCGACATTATCAGCACCCACTTCATTTGTTTCAGGACTATCTTCACCTATATCATTTGGACAGACACCAACAACATATGACCCAAATGCTCAAGCTCGTGCTTATTCACAATTTAGTGGTTTATATGCCGATTCGTATGGAATTGCAGCTAGAAATGTTCAAGCAGCACCTCCCACAGACCAAGTAACAGCTCCTGTAGCACCAGCAACAGTTCCTGCAGTTCCAACAACAACAACAAATGGTCTACAAGCTCCACCGACCTTTTTTCCAGGATTCTTTCCGTATGTTTAATAGGCATTGTAACTTCAATAGATAACCTTTAAGATTACATGTTTCTAGACCTACATTTTTTCCACAACAATACGCTGCACCTGTCAATCCTTTTGTTACACGTACCCCCACACCGTTAGAGGTGACATTGAGTAAGTTTCATTTTAGATTACTTTTAATTTCATTTTGCATCTTCATTTTCTTTTTCAGTTCCTGGTCCATTTTATCCATATGGTCCTCCACATGGTGGTCCATTCGGTGGCCCAATGCCTCCGACTCCTAAAAAACCCTCAATTGAAGATTATTTCAAGCGCTATCGATATTTTGGTGGTCATCATCCGTTTTCTCATGGATTTTCCCAATCTCCAATACATTCATCGTCAATCGTTTCGGGTGGTCAGCCATTCTCAAGTTCTAGATCTTTTGTTGGTCAACATGTTCCAACTGGCTTTTCGTACGGTGGTCAATATACTCCACCTAGCTCATTATTTGATAGTCAATCTGTTCCGAATGATTTTTTATACGGTGGCCAAAAATTTCAGAGTTTTTTGCCTGTTAATAGTCAACAATATCCAACTGCTATGCCTTATGGCGGTCGCCCTTTTCCACCTTTCAGAAAAGTCAATATTCCAATCCGTGGATCGTTCGGTGGCAAACAATCTACGAATGGAGAGGCTCATCCAGTTCTCGGGTAAGTTTCTTCTTAAAATGTTATTTTTTCTTTGGATACATATGCAAAACAAAACGTGGAATGAAGGAACTAAAAAAAACATTCTTTATTCTGCTATATTTTGTTCATTTGGTTTTTGTATTTTGTATTTAGTTTCGATTTATTTATGTCTGATGATGGTCTTTATGCAGAAGAAATCGATGGTGATACTCTGTATGTATTATTCGTTAGCTGCTATATTTTTTAATTATCTTTTGTCGTTATTTATTTTAGTACCAAAGGTAAAGATAAAAACACCGGCAAAGGTAATAAAAACAATGCCAAAGCAAGTGACAACAAAAATTCTGAAAAATCAAATTCGTAAGTTCCTTCATATGAAAGCTTGCTCAGCGTTTGATGCCATTAATCTTTTTTTTAGCAAGAATAATGAAGGTGATAACAACGAAAGTCCGAGTCGTAAGAAACGTCAATATGATGCCTCTGCTACAACTGTTGGGCAAGTGCCTTCCGTCGGTGGAACAGAAAAACAACAATATCCAGCTAGCTTCAATCCATTTCGAGTTGGATCACATAATGCAGTACAACAATCACATTTGAACTCAAATCAATATTTGCGTCCATCCATAAGTCGATGTATGTTATTTTTATTTCTTTTATTTTTCATATACAGTCATTCTTTCCTATTTAGTATCACCATGTGTTGGTAAATCACTAGGATCTAATACTGCACACCCAAGAGATGATACAAAATATATTGCTTGTTTAAATCAATTCTATTATGAAACAATGAACTGCCCATCGGGTCTTATTTATAATGCAGCTACTGACCGATGTGAAAAAAGAAAAAATCCTGACGCAATATGTGATCGTGAACAACCATGTATGAATGGTGGACAATGTTATCAAACAGGTAAAACAGCATACAAATGTACTTGTAATGGTGCTTGGACAGGTGAACGATGTGAAACACAACTATCATCTTGTGCTACTAATCCCTGCGGTCCAGGTAATATATGTCAAACACTTAAGACAGGCGATTACAAGCAAGATTATGTTTGTGTCTGTAATGAAAATCAATCATATGGTCCAAGCTGTGGGCAAAGTATGTTGTTTCGACTTTTCTCTATTAGAAAAAATGATTTATACTTTTATTTCAGATACTGTACCAAATCCATGTTTAACGACAACAACTATACCAGAACCATATCATCCATTTGAATTCAGTGCTCAAGCTTTTATTCAATGTAATGGTGATTTCCTTTATGTTCAACCGTGTGCACCTGGTTTAATTTGGAATAAAAACGAACAAGTTTGCGATCGACTTGAAACAACATCATATGAAGGTGTATATGCTAGTAATGAACAAAAATTGTTATCCGATAATTTCGGACCTATTTTTGCTGATCGAATTAGTGTTCAACCACAAGCTGACCAACAAAGGTTAGAGCAAAACAATAGACAAACAAATAAATATTTATTGATATCATTTTTATTTTTAAATAGGGCTATTCTAATTCAACACAACCAACAAGAACTCCCAACTCTTACAGACCGATCATCGTCTTCAATACCAGTTGTACAAACGCAAACTGTTGATACATATGTCAAAAGACCACTGTACGATGACGTATATTATGAGCCACCACACACGGAAGTGATGAGTCAGCAACCACTGCAACCAGTCACTCGTTTTCGAACAAAATTACCTAAAAATATCAATATGCAATAAATTCCGCAAGGTTATCATCGATAACGCTCATTTATATCTCTTATTTACTTGACAGTTTTTTCTCTCTCTCTCTCTTCATTAGTTGGTGAATCATTTGCATCCTCTTTTTATAACCTCATTCATGTTAACATTCTTTCTTTTTTTTTTTTCTTATTCGCTCATTTTAGTTTTATGTATGCTTATCTCTTTGATTAACTGGTTAATATTTGGTGCTATTAAACGTTTTACTATGAAACGAGTAAATGGCATCATTTTTTACTCTGTTGATTACATATCGAATGACTGTACGATATGGATTGATATTACATTATAGAAAGAAACTCAAATCTATTTATTCTTTTCTTGTCTATATCTAAGAGACTTCAGGCAAAGCAAGTACTATGATGATAGGATACAAATTCTATATGAAATGACACATGAGGATATATTTCTCGAGTATAAATAATTAACAAATTTATTTCATTAGAACTAGCTTCGAGAAATTTTAATATTAAAAAGAAAAATTAAAGTAATTTCGTTAACAAAAACAATTTGCTATCTGCTATTAACATGTTGATAGCGAATTTTTTTCTTTGGTAACAGACCAGAAAAAAGGACAATTTACTTTGTATTAATAATTATTTTACAATCATTGATCTACATGAATGCACAAAATACATCATTAAGTTAGAGAAAAGAATTAATATCAATACATCTGTAATCTTGTCATTTATATTAACTGTAATTTTATTTTGTGTCTCCAAAAATTTAGATCAGCTGATTGATGATGGTAGAATATTACATATTTATAATTAGTATGCTTATGATAGTGTTTTCGAACACCAAAAAGATCCATACATGTCAAACTTGAAACTTGAATTCAATTGAAAATTGAAAATTTCAGTTTTCAACTTTTAAACCAACAGCATTCTGAATAATCGTGACTCGTACATATATCGCTATGAGTTGAAAGTTGAAATTTTCTATTTTCAACTGAATTCAAGTTTCAAGTTTGACACTACTGAAAAGATCATGTGCCATCTTATGTCGAGTATTGTTAACTTGAAAAGGTTCCATTTGACTGAAGAAACTCACGCGAAGAATTACAACGATTAGTAGATAAAAAGGGCAAAAACTATTTTTAAACTAATGAATAAGAGGAGTAACTTAAAAAAAACTATGAGTCTCTTCATTGGGTTACTTAAATTAGGTAAATCTATTAGAAATAGGAATAATTATTCTCTGAAAGTACAAAAGCAGTGATTTTCAAGAACTAAAACATCAAAGAAAGTTGACTATCAAAGAAAAGTAATTTCTTTTGCTGTAATCGAATTCACAACTAGACAGTCATCAATATTAATGAGAAAGACACATGTTGTTGATATAGTGTATATTCTTGCTTACAGAAATCATTGGGCTATGAAGAAATCAACGATGAATATGGTATTTCTCAGATTATTTATCAACATTCTATTTAATGAAAATATGCTTTAAAAATCTCATGGTGAGAAATATCAACTTGGATAATTTTTCTCCCAGAGAATTCGCAAATAAATTAGTTTTTGGTTCATAAAAAAGATTTGTTCCACAGTGCGTCAATTGAATAATCATGTTCGATATGTATGTCATTCTAGATAAGCATCGCTTCACAACATAATCTATAAATTAATGAGCTAGTAAATACATCAAACAGAATAAAAATCATCAATACTACACATTTAAAGGTAATTCTAAATTATCAGGTAACTAAACAATGAAATATTTGAAATGATGCATATTAGATAAATCAAGAAATGTCTATGATTCGACTGTTGATGGCTTGTATGAGTGATTTTTAGTTTTTTATTTATCTCTATGACTTCATTGACGCTAATTTGTTGACTGAAACATCAATAAAACATATAGGTAGGTACGAAAACAAGAAATATTTATAGGTTCTAATCAACGATAGATGAGTACCATTATTCGTTCGATTTTATTTTTAGTATTTATTGCTCTGCTCGAATAAATACATATACGCTTATGTGAAATACGTGTAATGCACAATACAAAAATGAGAAAAAATTGGCAGCATTGGTCAATTATATATATATATATATATTTATAGTGTAATACAATAAACAGTTGTCTTTTTTAGCTTATATATATGCCTATTATTTTCTGTGTTTTGTTTTTTGGAAATAATTCAGTGAAGATAATATGCCTATTTTTGCGGCGTCTTTTTAGTTCGAATGAACCAGTTGACAATCTTCGAATTGTAATAACACGTCATGGTGAATGTGCTGATTTAGCATAAGAAAAACAATGGGTATCTGAAATGCAAAAACATGGTGGTTATGATCCACGAATACCGCATTTGACGCCTCGAGCACATTTTCGTGAATGGAATTTTGATTCACCACTAACTGTTGATGAAGAAAATCAGAGGGCATCAGTTGATCGGAAATTACTTGATCTTGGTTTTCCGATTGATTATTGTTATTCATCACCTGCCTTCCTATCGACCAATACAAACAACAAATAAAGTTCTTGAAAGTCAAGGACGAAAATCGGTACCTATCAATATTGAACCTGGCAAATATTAAATATAATCATATGAAATAAATTGTTCATCTCTTTTCGTTTTAAAGGTCTATTTGAGTGTCCAGCTTGGTATCATGGTAAATCATTAGTATTTATGCCTCCTCGAATTTTAGCTAGGGATAGAAAATTTAATATCGATCCATATTATTCGCCAATATATGATAGAGTTGATTCATATGAAGATGAACGAAAATACCATCGAAGATCTCGTCTTCTTATACATGACATAGTTCGAGATCATAAAGATCACGGTGGAACAATTTTATTATCAGCATATGAGTGATCAATGGAAGGAATAACTCGTGGCTTACGCGGTTTATTTCACCGACGTGGACGACCCGAACATATTATACAACAAACTTTAACAGTTATTTATTGTAACTTTCCTATATTAGAACGTGATGTACGTACAGGCCAATGGACTGTTCAATTACCGAGCTCGCATCGTCATCATCGTCATAATAATCCTCCAGCACAATTATCAAGATACACCATTATTCCACTTTATGGTATTAGTACAGAATATTTAATGTCAACTAAACGATCACAATATTTAGCAACAAAATGAAGATCATCAGAAACAAGACACTATTCACATCACTATTGATAATAATTTAAAGATTAGCATATATTTGTTTGCTTTTTTTCTTGCAGTTAATTTTCAGTTTTCTTAGAAACGAAGCACACACATTTGGTTTATATTTGCGGAAAAAAATGATGTAAATATGAAAAGAATATTGCTTATTGTTCTATAACTGTAACTGACTTGAGTTTTGTTTCCGTTTGAAATTTGATAAAAAGAAAAATACGCATACAAAGAGAACAACATTGATTGAATGCTCTTAAGAGTTAAATTTTCTTTTTTATGTTACATTTTTGTATCTTCAATATCTTGATCACTATTTTGTGCTAATTCATAACGATTTCTACCATTATAAATATGAGCATGATTGGCCCCTTGTGCGATCATTAAGAATATCTGCAAAAAAAAACGACAGAATAGAATACATAATATTTATTACTATTATTATGATTATTATTAATATCATACCAAACTTAAGATAACCAATATCGATGAAGCTGTTGTAACAATACTTAAACTGAAGTAATCACGATAAGACTAAATGAATAAACGATAATGTATTAATAATCGTAATCTTCACACGATAGATATACTCTTTCGGTAGGTTGATTAATAGAAAGAATTCTCTTAGTTTTTTGAGTCTCTGATAGTGAAGCTTACAATGATTCCGTGTGAAACGATTTCGTAACCTCCCAAGAGATAACACTCATTCTATCAAAAATGATAAATGTACCAAATGAGCCGACTTCGGTCTTTCAAAAACAAAAATGATCTCTCTTTTTTCTAAACATAAAATCTAAAGAATGCTTTCAAACAATGAACATATTATTCACTTTTCATTTATGTAATAGCTTTACTAATTAGTAAACAAAACAAATCGAATCATAATATTTTATCACAATATCGCGCAAAACTATTTATAAGTCAACACAACTCCTATCTCATACTCCGGTCATGTATTCGCAAATCTTGGCAGATTCAATCATCAAGATTCTTTCATGCATCAAGTAAACAACATCGAATTTTAATGATACTTACTGGTTGACAAATATCAGCTAATTTAAATGGTGCTGGTTTTTCATCTAATCGATGTGCATGCTGATTTATTTCATTAAGAACTAAACATATTTATATTTGTACATGAACAAAATCAACGAGTACAAAGTCAAATATTTATTTACTTACTGTTTACAAAACTACCTCCAGCTGTACCGTAACGATTATTACATACGACAAAATAAATATAAAGAAAACCATAAAGTGGAATAAATGTAAGACAAGCAATGCCCAACCACGAAATTGTTAATAAAAATGTTATAAGTAAAAACTAATTATAAAAATAGATATGCATATTAGAAGTTATTATTTTCAACTTACAAAACCATTCAAAATTCTTGCACATATAGTCTTTCTATAGCCCCAATAATGTTTTTTAATTGATTTTCCAGTTATAAGACTTGCTAAAAAAACCAAACATAACCCGAAAAGAAATGTTATTACAACACCGCAACCAATAACAAGTCGGCTAAGTTGTAAACTTAATAAGTAAAGATAATAAATATTTTTTTCCTTCGTTCTTCATTAGCTTACCATTGATTACATGACCACTTTTCACTATATTGAACTTTGTATAATGTATAGATTGTCGACATTACGAATAGAACACATCCGATCATTAGAAGAAGAAATGCAACAAGAGACGGATATGGAGTTTTATAAAACATATTAAAGAATTTTGTTCTTCTAAAATGGATTACTAGAAAAATGTTTAGTTTCTATTTGCCATAGTTAGTATCGTGATACTAGCCATAGCTAAAAGGATAATGAAACACTTCGCCTTCAATTATGCAATAGACAATGATGATGATGACGATGACGGCTGAACGTTACTGGAGAGGATAACGAGAGAAAGATTATTCTACAATTGATAGACATACACGTAATCAATAGTACCGTTCTGTGCATATTACGTCAAGAAAAATAGGAAAGTTTTCTTCTAACTTTCTAAATCATTCTTTTCATCTATAGCTCAATTTTTTTTCTCTCTGTTTTTTATATGATCGCATGCACTTCAAATGAATTCAATAGTTCTCCACAGGGAATCATCATATTCACGACAGGGTAACGATGCTAGTGCATAATAAATAACTATGTATAGATCATATTGATTGTGACGTAATGCTCTTCTCCTATCCATTTCATTCATCAACTAAAACAGCCGCACACACACGACAACAATTTGTATAAAACATAATCAACTGATTTGTATTCATAGACTTACAGGGAAAAAAAGAAAATGAAACAGTATCTATAATATTAGAATGATTATCTCCATCCAAATGAATGAAAGAATGTAGAACAGTATTCTATGGTTAATTTAATCAATTTAGTGGCACTGCTTTGCCGAAGACGATTAGGAAAACGACAAACATACAAGAAAGTAAGCAAACAAACAAACAAACAAACAAATATGCGAGTCGCATAAATTAATAACGGGTTAGCACGATAACAACCAAGGACAGAAATAGAGCGAGAAAAAAGGCCGATACCCTCAGGAATGTTTATTATTCGTTTTTTTTTATCACTCAATATCAATAAATCATGAGTCAACATCAGACAGAGATTAGAACTTGTCTAATGTTTCACTGCATCATTTGTACATAAAACGCGGTATAGACTCACTCCTGCTCGGCTGATAATGCATGCCCTTATTTCAATATACCAAATCATGTCATAACAAGACTAGCAAAAGAGTGATGATATACTAGGATGTCTAATATTTCGAACAAAACTTGTCGAAAAAAATAAAATTTTAATTTTCCTATAATTTAACTAATATAGAAAATCTACTACTAATGATATAATCTGAAACACATGTAGAGAAAAGGTCAAGTTCATTATTACTTTCGATAGTTGAAAACATTTCAAATCAACTATCATATTTAATATTGTCTTCTATAGGAATCAACATCTATCTATCGTTAAGGAAAAGAAAATGACATAGGAGAGTGAACGGAAAGTTGTCCGTCTCGCTATTATCAACTCTTTTACTGTCATTCAGCATGAATCAAAGTAAAAAATGTGTAACAATAATTCAGTCGATTGCTAACCTGTATTTGCATGGAGTGTTGATATTTCCTATTTATTGATTACTATCTATTAGCATTTTCTTTTCTTTTGCACTCTATATTTAAGAAATGAGCAACCAGATAAATACCTATGCATTTCTGATTCTAAAAACAAAGAAGATCTGCTGCTTCTGTCATCATAATAATATTAACAGTCATAATAATAATATGAGAACATATGAGTATCCGGTTGCAATGTTTTCATAGTACTTACCGTCTGCTTAATTTCACACATTTCTTTTTCTCGCTTTCCTATATAGATTTACGCACTCTAGTTCAAGTTTAGTTCACCAAAAAATTTGCCTATATTTTGCTCAGCTTCTTTTTTTTGTTCTCGTTAATGTGGTGAACTTCTTTCCTCGTTCTGCATTCCATCCTGTTGTATTATATGAACAACAAAAGAAAAAAGGCACCAATGGCTTCATCAAGAGTTGCATACACACATTCTCAGAATAGACAAACAGTGACCTGATTCTTGTTCTTTGTATGTATTCTAGCTATATGTATGGGAAAGAAAATGAATATTTATATCAAATATTTAGTTTAAGTCAAAGATCATATGACATTCTATAACACACATACAATAAAATAATGATTTTTGTTTTATATTCTAAATTTTGTCTATTTCATGAAATAGTCACTTTCAAAGAATCATCTATATTTCTCATAAAGGTCTTGTCTAATTCTATAATTTATCAAAATATATGACATACTGTCTAGAAACAAATGACCCGACTTTTCTTTCATTTCAAAAAGTAAAAATTGTTCTAGAAGAAATTGATAGTACTCTACAAACATACGATTAGGCAGCAATTTGTTAATTCTGTTAATGTAATGAATATCAATATCTTATTAACAATAGTGCTAGAAAAATCATCTATGTTTCTGCTGCGCATCGCCATCAGTGGTTTCAATAACCTGTTTCAATCAGACTCAATAATACACATGCATGTTTCACAAGATAATATACGTATTTCAATTATAATTACTATCAAGATCAATAGTTTTTATTTATGAATGATTTGAAATTAACACTTTAATATATCAGAATTTTTGCATTTGTTTTAAAAATGCCTTTCCAAAGTATATCAACTAGAATAGTTGATTTTACTATCTGTATTTGATTGACAAGTATATATTGATTATGCAATTCTTGTTCATTGGCTGGGCTAATCTTTAATTATTTGTTACAATTATAAAAATTAGATACACAAATAAACACTTCTAGTTTATATGCTTTGAAGAGAACGAAAACATGACATAAATATCTTCTTGTCCAGGCCCGGCATAAAATTTTGTAAAACAATCAATATAATGTGATACAATTGTTGTTTCTTATTCATATAAAAAATAGAGACTTGTGTCTTTCCTGTCTATTGTACATCATTTCTGTGAAATTAACAAATATATAAAGTAATACATCAGAATAATCAAGAATTCCCAAAAGGATTACGATGAATGTATAATATTGATGAATTCATCATTGCAACTTGTTTATTCATAATGTTAAAAGCTATATAAGTTTTTCTAGAAATATGTTTAAATAATTCTTTTTTTCTCCCTAATAATCACATCTATAAAAACATATCCTGCAGCTATTCTGATAAAAGCTTTCGAACTCAAGGATTCATTTAATATTGATAAAAAAAAGTTCCTATCTTTGAATGATACTCATTTAGAGATGAAATAATCAATTGCAATAGTAAGAGTTTAATACAATCAAGTGAAATTGTACAACCTAATCTATTGTTAAGACTCTCATGTGAAAAAACGTTTACATCTTCTTAGGACTAGAGATACAAATGCATAGTTGAATCAATCAATCAGTTTATATTTCTATGTTAGAACTAATAATTGTGATTTATTTGTGTTTACATATTCTTTGTTATTTCCGCAAAACTTTAAACGCCTGAAATCGATCAAAATGATTATATACCAAGTGTACATATTTATAAAAATTGATTTCATTCTGAAGAATCCATAACAAAGAAAATTTTAATTCAATACATCTTAGTTTTATTAGGATACATGAAGATGATAAGAAATGAAAATTAAAAGATAAAATATTATTAGAATATCGAAAGAAACATGAAATAGATTGACAGTCGTACACGTATGCGCATGTCTAAAATATAAATAATTAATACAAATTTTGTAAAAGAAAAAGCAATTAATTTCCTATTTAGTAAATACAATTTTTCAAACGATTAGCCTACACAAGAGAAAAATAAAACAAAATAACCGAGATGAAATCCATATCTTTTCACATATAAATTAATGAAACAAAAAATAATATCTACTGCTGTTACGTAATCATATTACAAAAGAATTGCCTTTTCTTTGACAATTTCAAATCTACTAAAAATAAGAAGTCATGCGCTGTTACTTATACAACAATAATCACGCCTATCTATATTTAAATAAAACAAAACAGAAATACTATCTATATACAAGCTTTCCTACACACAAATTATGATGCACTTTCACTGTTCACTCCAACGAGAAAAACAAAACAAAAATATATATGTATAATAAGAATGTGCATATATGAAGGATTCGCCTAGAGGTTAAAAAAATATTATCAGAAAAAAAAAGTCTAACATGTAATATAATGGCAGTTAAAAAGAAAAAGGTTTATTGTTTAGACGTTGAAGGAACTAAAACTTGTTTTTCTGGATATTATTTGGGATGTTGTGGAGAAGATGAAGTAGTTGTAGTTGGCTTTGCCGCACTGTTTTCTGCTGATGGCGTCTGCTGACCCTTATTTGATTTGACTTGTTCAATCTAAAATACGAGAATATGATTATTGTTTTTCATAAAAATAGGTATCGATATTTTTAACGAAGAAGAATATGAAGGAAACCTAGTAATTCATAGGAAAATATTTCCGATTGGCTTTGTCAATATGAAAAAAGAATCTCCGTAGAATGCCTATAGTTTCTTTTTTTATTTCTACAGCAATCAAATCTTTTTACAATTTCTGAAGTCTGACATATGCATAGAGTGCGAATAGTATACTGTAATATTTTGAAAACTATTTTACAAATGAAATTAAAATGTTTCCTCTCATCAATTGTCACTTTTTACTTAGATTTCATTATGGTGTACTCTAAAAATAAAAGATCCTAGTTCGACTGAGTCCTCTTTTATACTAGCATTCCAACTGCATTATATAGTAAATAATCGGAAATAATTTTTCAAATTCTTTTCGTCGACTATAACATTAACGACTACCATTCACAGATTATGGAAGCAAATCCAAAATATTTACCCGACTTGAAGTATAATAGAATTACTCAACAACAAAACGCAAACTTACCACCGACAGTTTCGATAATTCTTGTTGAAGTTGCGTTTGCAATGATCGAATATCATCCAAAGATAATTTCGTTAAATCATGATCACTCGGTAATAAACGTACGTTATGTACAAATAATTGACGCATTTGTTCAATTTGATGTAGTGCTTCATCTCGTTGTTGTACAGCACAACTTTTATCGTGTTCAAGTTGTAAAGCAAGTCGATAGTTATCTTTCGCTGCACGACGCCAATTTTCCGATGACTATTAAAGATGAAATACACGTAAAACAAAAAGAGTAACATAAATTGTTATATTAACCTCTTTTTCAGTCGTAGCTAAATTTTGCATTTGTAATATACGATTTCGCATCATATCAATTTCAGATGATAAAGATGAGGATGCATGTGTACTTGGTGTATTAAGACGTTGAAATGTTGTTTGAGGAGATGTTGATTGTAATGGCTGAAACAATAAAGGTAAATCTTGACTGAAACCAGCCATTTTATAGAGTTCACCAGGTCGACTACTCCCACCGCTTGATGTGGATGGTTCAGGAAATGGAGTATCAATGGGCTAAACATAAATAGTTTTTGGTAAAACAATAGTATAAAATATAAAGTGAATGCTTGAAGTAAATTTCGAATAAATTCGATGTTCATATTGTATTATTGCTGAAGTGTTAGAATTTTTCATACAAAATCATGGCGTTTGCCTTTACAATCAAAGTGGTAACATCTGTTAATAGATTTCTATTCTGAAATAAGAAGATCAAATCTGTCGTTGTGTAAATGGACAACTTAAGCGGCGCACTTTTTCTTTGGTTATTTCTTGCAATAGAAACAATAATAGTATTCGAAAGTTGAAGACCCAGTTATGAAAATAATGTTCTCATCATATGAATAAAATATTATAGATTAATTAACGCATTTCTCTGATTAATAAAATTGATTTAAGTTTGAAAAAAATTTTCTCTTACAAAATTTATCTAATTTAAACCTTACCGATCCTAAAGTTTCATCAAATAATTGATTGGGTGTATTGAAAGGTGATTTTATTGATGATGAATGTGAAAAATAATCAGTTGAAAATGAATTTGGAATATTCATTGGTCTTGTTGTTTCATTCGTTGCTGATGTTAATAAATTTGTTGGTGATGTAGTATTTGTTGCAGGTGTTGTCGAACGTTCAAAACTATCCATGTCATCATCAATGAGTAAATCATTAGTATTCTGTTCGTTTGTAGCTGCTTTATCAAAATCATTATCATCAACATGATCTAAACCAATAGCTGTTAATGATGATTCTATTAAATTTTTGACATCAGCTGGTAAAACTTGTTGATCTTGACAATCTTTTTTATCATCAAAGTAATTTGTTGGTGTGGATGTTATTGAATGAAAATGTGCATTGATTGATGAGAGTAAATTTGATGCTGCTAATGTTGATAAAAAACTCGATGGTGGAGGATAGGAATGGCTAGCAGCTAATGCAGCAGCTGATAAAAGAAATTGATCATTTAGAAATGATGGCGCTGATACTCGAGAAGGCTCGTAAAATGGTTGCTGCGGAGATAGTTTTGAAAGCATTTCTTGCATTGTAAATGGTCCATTCGAAGAATTAGTTGATCTTGCTGACTAAAAAAAATTAATCAACAGAAAACTTGATAATTGAAGAGAAAAATTAAAATATTTTTACATGTCTATCAAATGCGTTTTTAGCAGCGCATGAAAATGATTCAATATCATATAGAGATGGTTGAGATAATTTTTTTGGAATGTTTCTCGTTGTTGATAATGTCTTTTAAACATAAAATAAGAATAAAAAGAAATTGAAAAAGAAAAGAAAATTAAAGATTTTCGTTTACATCGAGAATTCCAACTTCTTTGTCTTCCGGTATTGGGATAAATGATGATAATGGTAATTCATTTGTATAATGAAGATCAAAGTCTCGATAGGATTTTAATTCTTCTAAAAAATGTATAAAAAACAATGTTTTTAAATTTCATCTATTTGTTTGATACGCACGTTCAATGTGAGCAAAAGCACAAAATGGTCCTCGTGGACAATAGATTGTCATTGAAACATCATTACATTTAGTTGATTTATAAATCTTAAAAAATAAACGGATGAACAACTCTGAAGGCAAGCAAACGCTTTTTTCTTTAAACCTCTGGATGAAATTGTTGTTCAGTACGTGTATGACAATATTTACAACCATCACCAGATTCACATACAGTTGGATCAATCCATTCATCGTTTTGTTTTACATGTGGACATGGTGTCGATCTATAATCAGTATTCATTTTTTAAATGATAAAATCAGATGTTTTTTTTCTAAATATTCACTTGTATTTAAATATCGATGGATTACGACGACGGTCACGTGGATTGTGATATTGTGGACAAGCATAGCCTTGTCGACAGAGACGAGGAGGACGTTTACATGGTTCAGTTTTATAATTAGCAAGTACATAATGAGAATCTAAACAATATAAGATATCACAAATAAAATGTCATTGTTATTATTTTTCTTGTCTAAATTTTAATACAAGGCTAGGGTGTCTGTAAAGTTAGAGTAATTTGCAAAGCACTAACTTATTTAGTTGTTATAGCAATACTTAACATACACAACAGATTTTTTCCATCCAAAAAATATCTTTTTAGCGTTTTTCCTCCAGATATTAAAAATTAATTAAAACAAAGTTCAATTGTTTTTTCTATTCAAGAAGAGACTATTTGATTCTATCTAATGTATGATATATATTCTTTAACGATTCTTACATTCAGTCCTCCGGCAATGATATAAGAAATAAGATTGTATCTTTTAACGAATAGTTATTTAGACAAGATTTATGATCTTTATATCAACACCTGTCAGGATCGGTGACATGAGTGAAGCGGTGTTCAAGCTTTTACTTTTACTTTTACAGTTCAATACTTATTTGAGATCGTATTTGTCAAACATACTAAAGATTTATGATACCGTTGATATTCTACTTGTTACTCAATTCAATCAAGTTCAAATCTAAGAATTCAACTTTTTTACCCATGCATATATAGAGTAATAGTTGTCTTTTTATTCCTTTCGATTTTTTACGATTAGACAAAATTCTTGATATAAGAAAAAAAAGCTAACTTTTAGAAACCATCATTAAACCGTGAAAATTAGAATCAATTTAAGGCTACCATCGTTTTATCATACAATTAAATCAAGCTTTGCATTTGAAGTTCTTCCTATTAAATTGTTTGCATAGTAAAACAAATTATCATTGCATTAAAATGTCGAATTAAAAGAAATTTGAGATTTCTATTTGTCATACAATAGGTTTCGACATGAATTCAGTACATAGCTATACACTATTCTACTAACATTCTATTCACACACAACTATTACAGTAAAAATATGAAAATTTGCAAAAACTAGCTACATTGGTTTTGTAGTAAACATTGCAGTGTCATCTGCTATCGACATCACTCTTGTCAAATCTCTTACATCACTGGTATTCAAATCAAGAAAGAAGATACTTGAAGAAAGATCAATTAATTCAACTCAGAATTTATAAGTTAATAGTGAATTTGGTCTGAGATTTTCTTATGAATATATGGCCTGCTCAATCAAATCGAACTTTTGTTAAAGTTGATTTAGTAAAGTTAATGAAGTTTCTTCGATTCTATGATTTTCTGCAAATAATCTTACCACTCCACTTTGGATCATCATTTAAAGCTCGTTCATTTTCCAAACTGATACATAATCTTGCAAGTCTTTCTAAAGCTAAATCATTATTCTGCATTTCTCGACTATCAAGTATTGGTTGTCGTAAATCAGTTGCACCATGAGCATATGAACAATGAGGACCACTTTTAAGACAGTGTCCTTTTGCATCAGATTCATGTGTACATAAACCTGTTTTATAATATCGCAAATGATAACGTTTCTCTGTATCATTTGCATTTCGATGTAAGAGTGGACAACTATGAAAACATTAAAGAAAACTTGATAGTAATAGAAATAAGTTTTTTTTTGTAAAACTCTTACTCATCACCATTTGGACAAATACCAGATTGTTCATCATAGTTGTTACAATAAAAATCAGGATCATAAGAAAATGTTCCATCTAGTCGTCGAAATGGACGACGACGTCGTTGATTTTGAAAATGCCAATAAAAACATGAAAAAGGTCGATGTCTAAAAGATCAATTTCATTTTTTTAAATATGTCAAATAGAAATCTTCTGCTTCATACTGTGTGCATTTATGTTGAAGAAATAGTTGACATTGTTCAACACGAAAATCTCGTAAATAACTAATAATAATTAGAAGAAGAAAAAACAAATATTGAATTTATCAAAAAAGAACACATTGACCTACTTAAGATGTAAAGTTTTTTCAATTAAAGCAAGTTGTTGCAAGTCATTTGCCATAATAAATTTACATGAATCAAGACGGCAAAAGAAAACGGCTTTTGATTTATACACGAAGTTCTCACATGATTTGTTCCTATTTTTACTACGCTATTTGTTATTCTCCTTATTATTATTACATATTTGTTGACAGTCAGGTGATGTAAAAGTTTTACCCAATCGAACTTTCTACCCGAGCCACTCAAGATCAATAGAGGCCGTTAGTTTTCTATGAGAAAAACTTTATTGCGAGAGAATTAACTATGAAAATCCTTACACAAATATAGGGGTGAGCACAAACATATAGTCTATCAATGAAACAATAATCAAACTCAAAACTTATCTTACAGTTTAGTTGATTCGTGAATCTTGACATTTTCCTCTGATTAATTACTTCTATTTCGAAAATTCTTTATTTCGATATGAAAATAAAGTTCATAATCTACACTGAAATAGTTTTTTAAATTCGCCTGATATCATTGAAATATCATATACAATAGAATTTTTCAAAAATAGGTAAATGTTTCTAGATATGATACGTTACAATTTATCATCTTGAATTCATACACTTTTTTCCTTATTGTTAATCTCTGATTGCAGGAAAAAAATATAACCGTAATCTTATTTTTATGGTGCTCTAAAAGAGACTATAATTGAAAATTGTATTAAAAAAAGCTAGCTTATAGTACGAGACGATCTATGAATAGAAAATTGCAAATGCTCTAGAATGCGACATTTCGTAATGATAAAACGCATCCAAGCTCTTTAAAGAACTTCAGCAATTTAATTATCATATTTTTTGTTGGAACAGGGAAATTAACTGCCTTTTCTTAGCAAATTCAATCTACCCTCCAACATTCGCTGTCTTCGATTACCATTGTATAATGTATCATTAGGCATATTTTCTGTTTAAAAACAGGAGTAGGAGCGTGATATTTTTCCTCAGTTAAGAAAACTTATCAGATTTCTAACCATATATATTTTGAACCCTATCATGCGAAATCATTTTATTATCTGCACAAAACTTAAGTACATCGATCAAAATAATAATACAACTATCTTCAATGCACTTTATTCGAGGAGGAACAGTGAGACTTGCGTACTTCAAATGTTTTTGAACTACGGAACTCTCACTTTTGCTCCTTGTGCCATTTACTAATTGAATATCGGTACTAGTACTAATAGTGATAAGGTGGTGTTGCAATTGCAACAGCAATATGTACAAGGAGAATAAACTTCCAAGCATCTTTACCAGTATAATAGTGTACCTATTCCCAGATCCCGGCGATACGGCAGGAAGACATGGGAAATCCCTGAAAGGTGAAAGCAGTATACCAGCGGAAAATGTTTCGAATTTTTTCCCGCATTTTCCCATTCGGTTCCTACAATATCCTTTCTCCAGAATTATTGACATGACCCATGTTGGAAAAACCGGAGTAAAATTGACGGTTTACCGCGGTGTTACCGCGCCGGTTACCGGCTCCCATCAACACAAATTTACCGCGGTTTACCGCCGGTATTTTTCGATTAACCGGTTCGCTGAGCGTTTATAAAAAATTGTTGCTAAAAGTCATTGATCGGGCTATTTTAGGCATCTTTTTTTTCCTATATGATNAAAAATTGTTGCTAAAAGTCATTGATCGGGCTATTTTAGGCATCTTTTTTTCCTATATGATGACGGTAAAAAAAGGGTACCGGAAAAACTAGCGGTTAACCGCGGTATTACCGCTCCGGTTACGGGCTCCCATTTCATACAAATTTACCGCTTTTCTAAAATTACCGCGGTTTACCGCAAAAATTGAAGCGGTATTCGCGACATGGGGAACTATTAACAACATCCCAGCATGTAGATTACGATTAGCCGTATTTTTGTCGTAACCTTGGTCCCCGACATACGACATCGTACACGGTCTTGCATGTACATATGTTTTCACCTGCGATGTTGCGATCATTACGTGGAAAAAGTGATAAAAACGCATAATTACGATGAAGGCTTTGATTAGAGTTTTACAAGATGATATTTTTCATACCATAGCTCTATCCTACCTTGCAAAACTCTAACAGTAACTCTATTCAGTCTTTGTTTTCTATTACAAAAAAAATTACAACCCATGTTCTTGCCTGAGCAGAGCAGTGTACAATACAGCCTATTCAGTACTCTAGCATGATATTTTCTCTGGTTTTCAATATTTCATTATATTATTATCATCTTTTGACAATAGTAAAATAAGTTGTTGCTTTACATGATCATATATTTTATTCTATATTCACATCTATGCACTTCGATATTTTATGTGTTATTAATATAAAAGTACAGATTTTATTTTTCTTGGCACAGGAAGAGAAAAAAAATGATATATAATATTTTATTCGTGAGTAAACTGCTTAGTGGTCTTAAAAAAACAAATATTAAATATAATAGTTAATAAATATTTAGTATCATATTAAATTATAAGTTACTAACACAATTAATTAACAGAAAAAGGAGTATACCTATTTCAAATAGAATATCTGTAGAAAATGTTACGGAAAAGGAAAAGAGAAAAGAATTAAATGTCAGAAGAAGATTATATTGACACTAAAATAATTACGTCTAACATAATCAATCTTGTGTATACCGTATAATCATTGGATGCAATATTTGCATAGATGTGCTCCTTTTTGAACATATTTGAAACTTTAATTTTACTTATTCTTCAGTAAGTTTTCCCCAGGTTGATCAAAACGGACCACCGGAAATCGGCGTAACATTATCGTAAACAGTCGTTTTTGCATCGTATTCCGTCGTAAAACGATCGTTTTAAGCCGAATTAAGGCGTTTTAACAGGGAAAGTACGGCACGTAAAACGGGCCGTATTTGTATCGTATACGACCGTTTACTGATCGTTTTCTTCGATCGGGGTCGGCGACCGATTGTAACACTTCAAAAACAGCCTATCCCCAGAACAACTCATTGTTGTTTCTAGTTATAATACCTTTGATGATCTGTATATTAATATTTTTGAGCGAATAAACGCGTATGCAAGTCATTCATTGTGGTCACCGAAAACTGCGTCTCATTTGATCTGAAATAGATACAGCTACATTGAATGACTACATTCATTGAAGATACATTTCACTGTAATTCATCATATTATTGTAGTAGCTGTTTTTGTTTTGCCAGAAAATAGTCATTGTTATTTCTCATTTGCCTTCTGTAATATGGTAGGACAAATTACGACGTGGTTTTTCGATGTTATCCTCGCGTTTAAAGATAATTTATGACACCATTTTATTCAGCTTGGCTATATACATAGTATCGCCAACATTTAATATCATGTTGATTTTCATTTTTTTTCATCGCTTCTCACCAAAGATTGTTTGTGAAAGCATATCAAACACGTCAATAGCTTTTGAATTGCTGCTATATACAAATAATAGCGCTCAATATTGCAATAGTATATCCCAACTGATAGATAAACGAGACAATATTCTGTAATTGTATAAATCAATGGTATCGACCCTGAAAATTCAATAAACAGTTTAAATTTATATCATATATAATTGGTTTGTTTAAAGTGATGGTGTAAATTTGCTTTTCTACTTCATCAGACAAAGTAGCTGAGTATTGATTTACATACCATTCCATTTTTTGTAGATAACAACTACTCAGGTCGACGATTACAGAGTTCCTATATATCTGGAACCATTGCGTACGATAGTTTATGACAGTACTTGCTACACTTCTGTATTTAATTAGTTACCCTGTTCTATAGCTAAATATGAATTGCTTTTTGTCTATCTGTTGGTAATATATAAATGGGTATAATGGTTTAATATAATCGAAATAAGAATCAGTGTCAAATATATATAACATCGAATAACTGAGGATAACAACATGTAAGATTCGATTAATCATTTCAATTCGATATGTCGTCTCATAGATGATATGGAGAATGAAAATGAAATGTTTTCCGTTCTGTTGTCTTCATAGGCGACGAATATCATAGAATGTGTTTAACAGAATATCTTTTGTTAATATGACTATCAATAGTTAATCGATAGTTCGTGAACACACATGACTAGTAACAACTGAATACGAAAGAGAAAAACTCAACTGTTTTCTTTTTTATGCTCCAGTATTGGTGGGTGTTATCATTATTCTGCATCTGCAATCAAAAATATCATAAGTGAAAAATCCATTTGATACTCCATGAGACGAATATTTCATCTCATGCAGTTTAGAACTCTTATCCGGAGGATTTAAGTGGGTTCTACATTTTAGTCCTAAACCCAGGTGAATGAATCCGATAGTATATCCTATTGGATTTCATGGGATCCAACAAACTGACAAAATCCAATCGGATTCTGGGTCTAGGACCTACTAACGGATCCGCCAAAAATTTTTTTTTCTTGTAATCACTAATGAATAAGAATATGGTGTCAACAGAACACATGGGTCGAATGCTTATGTTGGATTCCGTTAAATTCCGACGCCGAAGCCTATCGGATTCCAACACTAGAGTTTCGATTGTAGGTCCCACACCCAGATAGGATTTCGTCGGTTTAATGAAACCCATACTATATTCGATAAGATTCCGACACGAATCCGATAGGACACTACCACCCCATCGGAATCATTCTCCTGGGAAGGTAATCGCGCTAGAAAGCTGTTTTCATAGTAATTCATAGGCATGGATTAATACAAACAGACTTTAATGGAATATTAGTTTCATTAAATGTCTTTATAAGGTAAATAAAACATATTTTCTTCTACTGCTTTGACTATTTACAATTTCATTTTTAATTGCAGAAAAATCTGATCGCCAGCTATGTTGCATATTGAACAACACATTGTATAGAGAAGAGAAATAAAACATTAATATTAATTTATTTAAAAAACAATTTTTTTTAAAAATCAACTCTTCATTTTCAAAACAAATCGCTATTTTTTTTTCTTTACCAAATATCCCGAAAACAGAACAATAAATCATATATTTGTGTATGTCACCCTCCTAGTCCAACACGTACTATTATACATTTTTTATGTTTTTTTTTTGTTTCTATATTGAAACGTAGCTAACGCTCAAATATTTGAAAATAGAATTAATCTAATACAAATAGTGAACAAATGAGTGATGGCAAAAAAAAATTAAAATAATAACTTTGCAAAAGTGAATATCACCGAGAAAATTTTCATCAAATTCAACTCGTCCTTCGAATTTCAATGTTTCATGTGTACTGTTTTATGATTTGTTGAGAACTTTCTCCAATGAGTAATCTTTCAGGTGTTGCACAAAAAAAAAGAAATGAAGGTAAATCACGCAGCATATATGGCGAACATAGGTCATTGAATCTCTGTCAAACGAAAGAAAGACGACAGAAATACATCATATTTCAAGGTTATATCTGCATCTTCTTTAAATAAATGCCAATAAAATAAAATATATGGAAAAGAATCTTGTTCTGATAAGTTCAGAGAAATAAACCAAGAGTGAAAAAAAAACAACATTTTTATTCAATTTTAAATCTCTATTATTTATTTAAGGCGATTGTCATCTTTTTTAAATGAATTATTTATCTAAATATCACTAGACATTTTATTTCGATAGTCAATTAAAAAATCCGTTTTAGATGACTATGTACACATTATTCGTGCTATGTTTCGTTCTAATCAATATTATTCATATACCTGGTAAATAATCGATTTTCTTAAATGAATATTATATTTTATTTGTCTAGTTGATGGCATTCAGTGTTATCAATGTAGTAGCGAAGAAGATGAATTTTGTCCAGCATTTGGAAAATTTGATGAAACAAAAAATGCTCTTGTCGATTGTTTTAGTTTAGAATCATATGTACCGGGACATATGTGTATGAAAATGGTTAAAGAAAGTTATGATTCATTTTATGGTAGAAAAGAAAACTTATTCATTTTGTTCTTTTATTTTCATTTGATTACTTTGATTTTAGCAAAAGGATTTCGAACTGTGATACGTCATTGTGCGTCACGATCAACATTAGGTGTTGCTCAGGGTTGTCGATATTTTGTTGATGAGGTTGGACTTGAAGTAGCTGTTTGCGTAAGTGATTCTGAATATATATTTTCAGTAGATTAATAAAAAAAAACTAGAGACTTCGATAGATAAAACCATTTTTATTTTACATATTGATATAAGAAATGATAGCAAATAGAAAATTTACATGTGCATGTTTAAGAAACATTCATTAAAAGGATGACAACTGCATGAACTTTAAAAGATATTGTGCAGCTCAAATGAATATGATAACGTTGTTTTCGTTAATGATAGAAGTTTATTTTGACTTCTTGTTATTCTCGCCCAATGATAACTGTAAGTCACTAAGGGAAAGGTTTTATATGTATTTTTCTTAGTTGCCAATAGATCATATTTCTTTAGTAATGACAATAATATATTTTGACAGTAGTGTTGGTTGACATTATCCATATGAGAAAAGTCTTCAAAATAAGCATCTATCCCATTAACTCAAAACAATTAGGCGAAATAAATGAGACAATCTCTCATTTTTTTGTCACTTATTATTGTCTATAGCACTCTATTCCATTTTTTTCTCTGACTCATCCAAATAAGGAATTCAGAAAATAGATATTTATCATTGAAGAATTTTACTGGCTACAAACCAAATAGAACATTTTTTTTTATCGTTTGATTTATTATTATTATCGTCGATGGCATAATTTTCCAGAAAACTATCAGTTATATTAAACTAGAATTCATAATCATCAACACTTATACTTTATTTCTACTTGAAGTAGTCATTGATCACTGTGAAATGATAGGTTTATGATAGAATACCTTTTTTTTTCAAGTGTCAATCTAAAGTATCATTGATTTGGATATTTTTTTATTCTATATAACAGAATTGAATTGGCTAGAAATAGATTTAAAGAAACATTAAACTCTACAAATTCATCTATAAAACGTCACCGAATAATTCTCATATGAGAAGGTTTTGATGGTTTCAAATAAAAAATTGAGTCACATGAAAAATCGCAGAAATAAGTCATTTTTATTCCTATTTTATATTTTCAAATAATTTTATACATGGGAGACATGTTAAATAGATATACTGTGCATAATGGCTATCATACGAATCAGTTGAAACTGAAATGATGAACTAAAATAAATAAAAAAATAACGTTCGAAAGAATTTTCATGAACTATTTAGCAGTGAATAAAAACCTTGAATTTTAACTATTGACAACCAGGAATTTAAATAGCGAGTTATTATGAATGTTTCCTCGTTCAATTAGTGACGAGATACGCTGATGGTTATTTCGACTTTTAAATGAAATCTGCTAGCGATCAAATATTCAAACTGTTTGATTTTTATATATCTATTTAAATTCTTTTTAGTACTGTGAAAATCGTGATGGTTGCAATGGCAGTTCAATTAATATACATTCCATATTACTTCTCACATTGACATTGCTTACTCTGTGTTTTTACTCATTATTATAAATGTTAATAATCAATTTCAATTAGTTCCTATTGTACATTTCTGTTTTTTTTTATAATACGCTCAGTTATATGTGTATCTCACGACTTTCTTTTGTATCTTTATACAAGTTATATTAGCCTAATAAAAACAACACTAGAATGATGAGTAACTAATAAATAAAGCTAGTAAAAACGTTCTCATTCTTTTTTGAATTCAAAATCTTTACAGTGACTTTCTCAAAATTGCCAGTAAATAGTATTCTTGAATTTTGTATATAAAGACAAGACTGAGTTATTAGTTCGCATTGATCTCAATGAATATATTTATTTAGATAATGTTACAGAAAATTCTGAGAATTGCAAGGAAATAGTTCCGTTGACTAAAACAAAACGTTCCAGTGTTGTTTTAGACGATTCTTTCTTGTCTCTGAACACGAGAGAAAAATTTTAGTACATCTTGATCGAAACTATAGTTTATAGAAGAACAGAAACGGCTCAGCTCAAGTCGAATTATTTTTCTTTTCGTTCATTTTTGGTTGATTAAATTGATGGATTATATTTTTGGCAAGTAATTTAAAGTTTGATCATGTAAGTACTCGAATATGATTGATATAACATGTTGAATTCTAAAAGTCTTGTTTGATTCAAACTCAACCATAATAATGTCAATCTAAGTAATGTATGAGATTTTTGAAATAACCTAGAATCTGTTCTGAAAGTATCTTCAAATGTATACTCTCATGACAAATAAATACCATTGTTAATGTTTTCTTCAATCATAATTGTTTACGGTTCAGTTCAATTCAATTTCTCTGTCTATTAAACAGTCGAATATTTGACTTTCAACATGTTCTCGATTTTGAACGATACAATAAAATACAATTGTAAATTTATTTCATTTTAAAAGTATCTAAGAGTGCAAATCTTATGGGATGACGACTAAGAGTCCCACTCTGGTTACTCTCATTATCGGCCTAATTAAAATCCACTAGATGAATTACGATGTATGCAATTACCTTTATGCTTTTAAATACACAAGTTTATTTAATGACAATACATTACATAAGAACAACTGAAAACAAAAAAATGATATATTTACAAGTAACGTCGATTTATTGCTGTTGCTAAAGTTGTTTGATCATCACTGTCATCATCCTCGGTTACCATTTCTGAATTATTCATAATGGTTGTTGTTGTTGGATTGGAATTCAACTCTTCTGTACCCATATTATCATAATCAGATTCAAAACTTGATAAAATACCCTTGGATAAATTATCAGGGCGAGATGATGATACATCGCTAAGATCTGAATGAGGTAGTGATGATGAGTCAGCTCGTTTTGAAAGTTTTTTAGCATTGTTATTTTCAAATGAAAGTGGTTTATTTCTATGTTTAAGTGATTCATGTCGAATAAGTTGTTCATTTTTTCGAATTTGTTTATATCGAGTATAATTGCAAGACTGTTTAGTTGATTTTGTTTTTAAAATAGGATATGTATTATCTTGTATTTTATCTGAATCATCATCTGTAGAATCATTTTCAATTGCAGAAAATCGATTAGGTTTTCTGGATGTCTTAGTTCGAACACGAAATTGGCTTAATTGATCTTCAAGCCAGTTTTGTAAAAAGTTTAGTTGGCATATTGATGAGGATTCTGAATCTTTTGAATGAAATCTAAATAGATTGATAAATATGAAATTGATTTTTGTTGCTATTTGAAAATTTTAAAAATTACTTTGATAAGTTATTATAACTTGCTGAGAGACCTGTACGTTGGTGATGTCTTGATTGATAAACAATATTTTGTGTCCATGGTTCATGTTGAATAGAAATTTCACTTTCAGACGTTTCAGCAATGAGCTTGTGTGCTAAATTGAATTTTTTTGTTCGAAGTTTAAGTATTTCTTGTTGTTGTTGTGGTTGTTGTGAAGTTACTGTTGCAGTAGGGGCTATAGGATCTGTTATTGTCATATTGACAATGAATGATAAATCAGATGGATGTGATGGATAGTAACAATCAATTATGGGTGGTGATGATGCCGGTTTAATCACTTCCTGTTGTATTTCATTATTTGCTGGCAAGAGTGAACAAGATGGATCATCCCATCCGGAAAACGATGATGTTGTTTCTTCATTTGTTGTTGATAGACTATGAGATAGATTAATTATATCTTTTGATGATTGCTCTTGTAATAATTGATTAAATTGGTCTTCTATGGAAATATTTTGTTCAGAGGAAACTGGACGATTTAATAACGGCGGGCTTGATTTGCAACGATTGTTATCATCTGAATAAATAAAAATGTCTCTTAATTAAAACAATTTCTTTTGTATGTAATACATTGGATTGTTTCATAGGAAAATAATTATTACTCTACAGTTTACATAAAAAGAAAAACCAAGAACCGAAAACTCTCCATCATTAACTCACTTTCAAGGTCAAACTTCATGCAGGAAATTCTTCATTTGAAATTTGCCTTATTGATGCAGACATATATATTCCTTCTTTTTATTGTACATTGAGCACAATGTCGTGATCTAGTTTAGGAATTCAAGAAAAACTAGATTTCGGCTCGCAACTTTGTAAAGAAATAGACTCGAATTCTGTGAAAATTTGATATTCTTTGATTTACTTAAGAGTTCAGCTGTGAAAAGATCTCAATCGTCGACGGCAAATTTCTCGTGATTCTATTTATTTCTATGTGACGTCATAAATAAATAAAAAGGCAGCCATCTTGATGTTCGTAAACAGCAAAATATATACAATATATTTTTCTGGCAGCATCTATAGCTGAGTAGATTTTATATGATCTACATTGTCCTGACTTTAAAGCGGTTAGTCACTTCGAGAATTTACTTTTTAAATAGAAATATCTGATGATTTTATCGCCACATGCTGTAAGACACAAGCGATTCTATTATCTTTCAGAGAATGATTTGATATTATGTAGCTCATTCTGACTAATACTTTGGGAATTTGTGAATTACTAAAAATTCAAAGTATCCAAATAAATTTCTTCTAAACAACAAAACTTACCTGCTGATTTATTGAATAGATTTTGTGTGAGTACTAAATATTTATTGGCATCCGTCGTTACTTCTTTCGATGGCCAACAAGCATTTTCATTTGAATGAATTAATTTCGAAAGTTTTTTTATCGGATTCATTGGTTTTAAACTAGTTGTAGTGGGGTCCAATGAGTGTAACAGTGTATGACGATAGGATGACTGACTGGAATTGGCATGCGATGTTCGATTATGTTTTTGCGACGATTGTTTCAGAAGACATTTTTGATCATTAAGAATACCCGATGATGATGTAGTTGTTGTTGTTGTTGTTGTTGTTGTGGATGGATTTTTATCATTGTGAGAACTATGTTTATATGGATATTGGAAAACTTGAGAACCATCTACACTAGACGATTTTGGAATAGTATCATTATTTGATTGATTAATTGTCAATGGAAGAGCATTTCGACCCTACGAAAGAAATTGGCAAAAATTAATGTGTAGAAATTCTAAAATGAAACACGAAACTAAGCGCAATAAAAAAAAAAGCTAGTTTTGGTTTTAATAGTCTCAATATTCAGTTTTGATGAGAATACTTTTAAAGCTTTCATGGGTTCAGTTGAAACATTAAAAAACTGAAATATAAAAGGATAGATATATTTTATAACAAGAGCTTAGAAAAAAATTGCACTGATTTTTTTAAGAAATATGTTTTTAGATTTTTCGATTGATTCAGACAGTGTAGATGCATTTTCAACTGTGCTCTTTCAGAATCTACGTGCAACTTATTCATGAGATTCCTAGGTGAAGTACTATGAAGAAAACTTTGATACGCTTCAATATCTTGTTGGGATGAAAAACATTTCATTACTAATCCTACAACGACGAATGCCACTTTATTCCAGATGAAATTTTCTCCTAAGTTTCCTCATCATGTTATAATAGCACTCATTTCGCTTCATTGCAGTTCTGCCTGCTTGGTTGTATTATACTTCGAGTTTTTTCTATTTCGCCATCGAGATAGTAGGCATCTTTCTAAGGAATGACTCATAAAGTGTGTGAACCATTGTTCAACAATGAAATCTAAGATTATACGCCAGAGATAATCGAGTTTATTTTGTAAACAAATACTTAGTCGAAGCTTTATGTTCATAACTCATACCATAAATATACTATCAATAATTGGAATCTTGATTTAGAAAGAACACTAAATTAAAAAGTTTCGACTCCCTCGTCATCCTATGTCAAAGCGAACAGTATTCTGTGAGATATTTCTTTTGAAAAGACAAATATAGTCTCTTACTTGAAAGATATTATCTCCAATAAGGCGTCCAAGTAAAAAATAAATACTGGTGTTATTTTCAATATTCATAGATGTATTTATAATTGATCCAGCTATTCGAAATAAATATAGATCATTTAATAAATTATATACTGATGATGTAACTAAACAATGATTGTTTTGTACTTTTGACATAAGTAATTGAATAAATGATATATGTTCACTCCAAATATCAACTTTTAAAAACTTTTCAAAATGTATCAAAATTTCATTGATAGAACCAACATGTAAACAAGCCGTAAGATTGATTTCAAAAGATTTCTGATGTTCATTGATTTGAAATAAAAATTCAGCTAATTCTTGAATTGATTTTAATGAGTTTTTTAAATCCATTGAAAATATAATTTCTTTTGGTGTTGATTTTTTATGCATAACCATATTTGCGTATTTATCATTATTTTTTAATGTGTATTCAATATTATTAATAAAACTAATTAATGAATATTCATCTTTATTATTTATTAAATCGAAACGAACATATAATAAACCCATTTGATCATATTTATAATGATAATGTTGAGACAATGATAAATTTGAATTTGTATCTAAATAATAATTAATAACACGTAATGGTAATATGAAAGATGTTTGTTTAATAAGTTGATTTCGTTGTCGAATTATTATCAAACGTTCATTATCAATTTGTTTAAACCAAATAAAATCAATTTTTTCCAACCATTCATGTATGTACGATAAAATTATTAAAAGAAAATTATGAAATATAATCAAAGTAAATGCTGTGTAATGATGTAAAGCATTTATAGATGAAAAATATGTATTTGTGGTCAGCCAAATGTATTCTAACATGTATAATTGTAAAATTGAACAAATAATAATAAACAAAGTTTTTATTAACCATGAACATTGACGAAATAAAGTACAGAAATAAAGTGGATATATAGGTGATAGAACAAGATATTCATGAAATTGACGAGAAAATAATGGTTGACTAAAAACACAAAATAGAAGATTGTTATTCTAACATACGTAGATGCTAGTTATGGAAATATTTCTAATTTAATTATTTTTTCGAAATTTATAAGTGTTAATTTGTCGTAGTTTCTCGATTTCACATATTGATCGTTTTTCTTTATTCTAAAAATTTCTTTCTTCAGCCTTGTTGCAATCAAAAAACTCTCCAGATGATTTGATGTTATTAACTATTTACACAAATGTGACGAAATATTACACTGAACACTATGGTTACTGTTTAATAGTGTAGATTTATTTTTAAAGATCTGAATGACTTTTTTTTTTATTGGTAGATATTGTGTAATTAGCGAGTTCTTTTGATTCAATATTAAAATAGAGCTTGCAGACTACTATATTGTTGGATTAAGAAGTTAGTCCTTGTAAGGAATTAATTTGACAAGTTCGAGTCATTATTACTTCTATCATAGCACAATCCAGATATAATCATGTCTTGACGATGAGTGACAGAACATATGTTGTTTATATGCTAGAGTTCTGTATTACTATTGTATAGAGACATAATGTAAACATGTTAGATCTGATACAAGAGATTAAATTTGGCGAAGACAAAACAGAAAGTGTCGTCGTTCTAAAGCGATTTTGATATTTTTAAAGCACAGTAAATTGTTGCTAAAAAACATTCTGCATCATTAAAAGAAATCTTTTCGATTTTATTTACTTTATGTGAATTATATTATAACATTATTTTCAAAGAAAATAAAATGTATGGGTTATATCAAAGTTCATTTTTTTCACGATTTCCTATTTCTCTACGTCCAAACAACCGGAATCGAACGCCAGCCACCAATATATTTCATTTTCCTATCAATGAGAGAAAATGAGATCAACGATCATAGAATACATGTTTGGGATAATCTCGAAAATCGTGTCTGAACTTTTTCAGTAAATGATTCATTAATGGAAAGAGTCACGGAACCGTATTAATAATGAGGTTTAACATTTCAATGTCTTCTTCAAACATTGAACGCCTAGAGTACGTCTGGGAATAAAATAATCAATAAAGCTTCTCTTTTTTTCGTAGATAAAAATTTATATTGAAGACGTTAAGGAGGATGACTAATGATGTATTTATTTGCCACAAGTCAGCATATGATGAACATAAAACGTCTGCATTAATCAGATAATATCTTTGGGAAATAATCAATAGCACTGCTGCTGAGCTCATCAAAACATATAAAACAGTGCCCTGAGACATTCGATAGATATAATTGATATGCATAACAGGCTTATCTGACAGTTCAACCAATGGTTGGAATCATAATCATGTGAAATAAAGACGAAGGAAGTGCAAAATGAAAACAATTGGTAAATATTAGTAAAAACAAAAATAGTATCTGCGAAGACTAACTTTCTTTAGAAATCAACTATAATTTTTTCGTGATTTATCACTTTGTTTATTTTTTTTAATAAAATAAGATGAAAGATAGCTTCTAGAAAAAATTTTAATGAGGAAAACTTCTTTTTTTTTGCTCAATCAACCAGAGTTGTATTTAGAATTTCAGCTCTATCATGTTTAATTACGTTTGACTCAACATTTCTTTCGATCTTTACCATGTGAATAATAAGCATTCAAGGTTCCGAGCGTCTTTTCAAACTTTAGATAAGAGGCAAAAACAAATTGCATGTATCTCTATGGAAATAACTCAACTACAAACGCTAATACTCACGGAACTGTTGAATTGATGAAATCAATGGATAAATTGTTCAACATTGTTGTAACTGTTTCATTATTTGATTGAGTTGAAATGAACAAATATTTAAAATTTTGTATTGAATGATATTGTATTGCAACAAAAACTAATATCGTTAATGTTATGCAAATAAGAATGTTTAAATAAACATAAAATTTTTTATCTTTATCTCTATCATTCATATGTATCGAACAATAAAATATAATTATGCATAAAACAAGCCCAAGAATAGCTATTGGAAATAAAATCAAATAATACATATTTGAATAATCGATAACAAATGATTGTAATAATGATCCAATTAAAATCAACAGTATAAAAATATAAATAAAAGAATTCGGACGATTAGTACGATGTATTATTTGAAAATCATTAGTTAAATATTGTTCTTTAAAATTTAAACTAAACCAATGTAGAAATTTTGATGTTAAATCAAATAAACTTAGTTTTCTTAATGAATAAATTAATGTTTTTGTATCTAAATGTTTTTTAACATAATAATCAACTTGAATGCGTGTTAATTGATCAATCATATCCGACATGTTTATTGATACAGCAGCATTATTATAGATTTCATATATATTTTCATTTGAAAGTAAATATGTCGAATGATTTGTTATTAATGAAAATTTATAAAATTGATTTTCTTTTAAAATTTCATAGATTCTGGATGATACATGTATACGATTATGAATAAGACATTCTTCGCGTAACCATCGTGAATAATCATATGCTAAACCTTCAATATATTGTGATGATAAAATATTTATTTGATTATAATCAATGCCAATATTTAATCGTAAATTCCATTGAGTTATATTATTAACATGTTGAATAAAACGAAATAATTCTACCGCTAAACGACAACTATTATCAATATTAAATTGTTCATTATTAGTTTCATTTAATAATGTAATAACTATTGTTTCATTATCAAATATAAAATGTGCAGTAGGTTGACTTGTTATTATTAATTGTTCAATTTGACAATAGAGTACATCGATTAATGATGCTAATTCATCACATGTATGAGTACGTGTTTGTTCATTTAATGATATAGAGCAATTGATGACTGTGCCAAATTTTGATCGAAAACTATTGAAATAAAAACAACGAATCGAAATCTTATTTTCAAAATAGCGAGTGTATTAGAAGAGTATATACATGAAATTAGAATAGAATACAAAAAGTTGAGAATCTCTACCAAAGTTGAGACTTCGTATTCTATCAAAAAGAATTCCAAAAATGTCAAAATCTTCTTTTTGATTGCATAGCTTGATGAAACAAGTAATAGTTTATAAAAACAAAAGCATTGATGTGTTCTAAATGAGATTTTTCGAATATATGTTCCTCAACAACTCCTGTTAGCCTAATTTTCACTAGAGAAAAAAACGGCGGTAAGAGAGAGTTTAAGGCCCTTGTTTAAGTAGCAATTTAATTCCCTACACAGATTCTTTATTCGAGTTTCTGTCAAAGAAAAAAGTCAACGTTGAATCCGTACAATCAACTACTTGAAGACATTATATAACATACACTAGAGATTTTATTTTTCAAGTTGCTTAGAATACAAGTCTTATGAAATATACCGATCTATGAATGACTTGAATTTCACATTGGCATATGAATTCTGCTCCAATGACTTGTAAATAATATATGACAGGAAAGTTTTGCACTAAGGGTGTTGTTGATTTAGCCTTGCAATTCAATATCACACAAAATCTCTGCATTTTCTTGCTTTTGATAAAGCCGTAAAGTATATTTAGTGTCAAAATTTATAATATTAAGTAGTTGAAAATCTACATTAAGCTCTCTGTAAAAACTAGGTATCAGAAAATGTTATCAATTTTTTCTTCTCGTCTAATTTTCATAACATAACGGTAGGCAGTTATTACTACGTAGTATAAAACGGAGAAGAATTATTCGATATGTTTTACAATGATTAATAGATCATCAACTGATATCCTTGATTTTGTTTAACTTGTAATCACAATCAAATAAAAATGAATTAGAAAATTGATTTCATTAGGTCATTTTTGCATCACGGTAGTTTATGAAGTTCTCTATGAAACTAATGTATTATTTAGAATAGCATGACACAATGAATTTTTCATTCAGCTATCAATTGTAAAGAATATATAATACTGGAAAAACATAAAAAACAATGTTTCAAGCTAAAAATGGTGAGTATACTCTTGAAACCGTTTCATGATATATTTTGTCCTGCGATTTTTTTAACCTTGATAAAACATTTTTGATTAAATTCTTTCGCATATTTTTCTCTTTCTCACAGCAAATTAATCACGTCTCTAGGGTATTATATTACAATCTTATATGAAAATAGAAGTAATGCAAAACTATCTCTTCATTTCATAGTAAACTTTAGAATAATTTCGATCTCGTATTTGGTTTGGCCATATTTCCTACGATTCTAGTAGCACTACCTAAACCATTCTAATGCAACAAAACGATCATTGAGTGGCAACAGATGCTGTAAAATATAGCGTATTGACGTTGCTCCATGGTATTCCTTTATGGCAAATTTAGCGTGAAATACAAGCTGGTCTATGGGGGCGACATAGTAACATGAATCTTAGTTGACGACAAAAAACAGATCGTTAACAATATTTGTATTTCTTAGTCGAAAAGAAATATCAATCTTGATATATATCGACGGCTTATCACTAAAGATATATCAAGCTTTTAAGTTTCGAACCTTGGAAATTCTATCATTGAGATAATCTACGAAAAATAGTCTCGTTTAGAGGTTATCCAAAATTGCATAAGATTTTGTCGAATTCCATTTTGAAGTAAAAAATAATTATCTAATTAATGTTAAAGATTACATTTCTTAAAAAATTAAAAAACTGAATCAAGTGATTTATTAAGAAGAACACAACAAATTATAACCTAATTGACTTTTCATCTCAATTGAAAGGTCAGTTTGCTATGATATCAAACTATGTTATCATAGGAAAATGTTATCATTACTTTGATTCATTTTTTATTTTACTATTATAAAGATTAATAGATATTTGTCAATTTTATCAAATTCTAATGTATATCAACAAAAACTAAATCTATCCTCAAGGAAATTGTATATAAAGTAATGTGTCTTACTTTATATTTGAGATAGTTGGCGTTTGTTGACAATGTCCAATAATAGTGTGTAACTTTTTACAATCAACATTATATTTATTTTTTTCTAATAGGTTTTTTTTGTATGCATAAAAGTGTTGACGGATATGTTTTATTGATCGAATATACGAATATAAACCGAATATATTAATAATAATATGATAAATTATAATAGACAAAAATTCTAAACTTTTCCATTGAATTTGATTTACGCGATCGTTTAATAAAAGACTAATATGTAAAATTGAAATACTTATTGAAATCAATAATGATTGAAGTAAAGTAAATGTTAATAATGCATAGATAAGTATAATGGAAATACTTGATAATAATATATGAAATTGTTCTGTTTGATAAGATATTACTAATGGAACAACTAACAGAACAATTATTAAAAGCCGTGTTAAAGCCCATAGTTTTTTTCCTTTTTTATGTAAACGTATCAGTATTAATAAAATGAAACTTAAAAATATTAATACTAATAAACATATTGTTCGAATATCATACGTTTGAGTTGATAAAAATAAACGACACAGAAATAAGGTAAAAAGATAGATTAATGATAATAATGGAAGAAAAACTTTTAAACATAATTTACTTAATTTATTTAAAAATTTTTTATAGTAAAAATTTAAATCATCACAATCATTCATATGATGTATATGAAAATTTTTTTTCCATAAATATTTTATACGATTAGTTGTCATTCTAGAAATACATCAAACAAAAAAATGATGAAGAAAATAAAGAACCTACTGATTTTATGGACATATAAATATACATATGAAATTCAAATCAAATGAATTGATTTTTAATAGAAAGAAAATTCGAAACGTCTGTTTTGTAATCATAAGAATTCAACTTTACACATTAGGATATAATTATAAAATGAAAGATCATAGAAAACAAATTATTTTCTTCGTTAAATAGTATACGTAGATTGTGGTATTTTCAGTTGAATGAATGATTGTTTCTGTCGTGTCTATCCTCAATGTGTATTAATGATGAATTGTATGTACAGTATTATGCATGTTCGATCATTGACGAAGTGGGAGAATTCTTTTCCTCTCGTCGTATTCTTACTATTATTACTACACTGCTGGTGCAATATCTTTTTTCTTTTCCCTTACTCTTCAGTTACCCTTTTATGAGCGTTTCAATCATTCATCGTGCCGCTGCTGCTGCCGCTATTGCTGCTGACCTCTGGTCGAAAGTGTTATGAGCTTACTTACTTACTTACTTACTTGCTTGCTTCTTTTACTTTCTAATGGCATATGTTGAAGACGCAGAATGAAAGAGAGAAAAAAATGAAGGCGGCGAAGAAGAAAATGACGACGAAAAAGAAATCCTGTCCAGCACTGATGACAAGTGTGATGCAACGAGATACATTGAGAAAACGGAGAACCTAAACGCGTTTTGCGTACTCACATATTGAAAGTGTTACAAATAAACATTTCCTTTGCATTAGATACCAATGAAAATAAGTTCATCATGTGTGAACATTGATCTTCAATCCTTTTTTGCTTCTTTGCTATTGAACATGCAAAGAAAAACACAAAGAATCCAGATATGAACAAGATGTAAATGAGAGTTTTGCGTGCTCTTTTATTTCCCTAAATATATGCTTGTATTCAATCATTGAAGAAGACATTTACATGCAGAAAAACTTTGAAAGAGCCTTACAAAGTGTTCATAATGTTATTTTACATACATGATTTTAGTCAATATTATCCAAGGTTTTTACCTCTTACGATCTTGGAAGACGTGCAAATGCTTCTAGTCTACTAATTCCGATTAACTAATGTTAGATAATGTCTTTTTAGCTTATACGATGATGCAACGATAGCGAGTAAAACGAACACGACACAGAAAGAAAACAGAAACTTGACACATTATATGTTTACTAACGTATTGAATATTTCAAACAAGGAGAACAGATCAGACGACCACTCATTGTCCTTCATCATATATATATAAAAGCTATAGTGGTCACAATATAAACACGTTCTTTAGTTATTCTGTGTCTTATTCCTATGAGATTACATTAATAACGTACGAATAAATGACCTTTTCAAAGTGTTTTCTTTTTTGAATAGATATGTTTGTTTATACATATCTGTTTTTCTTGATCCGATATTCATGTAGTTTACAAGCGCGATTATATTCTTTTCGAATCAGTTTCATCATTAAATCAATACTTTTATCTAGTCGTTTTCTTCTCAAATATGAAATAAAAGGAAGACAAGTTTATTTTCTGTTGCACTAAAGATTAAGAGATTTCAACATGTATAATAGCAATTAATGAGTGTATGCCTTTTTCTATTTTTATCATGTTACACACGCCAAATAACAATCTATATGTATGTTCTGTACATAAAACAGAAAAAGAAGAAATGACAAACGATCCTTATAGTTCATTATAAATTTGATCGGAAGAATAAAGTGCTTCCAATCATCATATTGTACACGCACAATTTCCTCTGATGACAGGGAGCGCGGGAGCTAGAAAGAGAGAGAGAGAGAGAGAGAGAGAGACAGAGACAGAGACAGACACTGTAATCCCAACGATTGTGCGTGTTTCTCCTCTTTACCAGCATACTACAATTAAAAAATAAACCAAACCTGCTTTATCTTCAGACTAAAGAATATTTCCTTTACTATAATTGCATATTACATTATGCAATCGAGCATCATCAACAACATCGATTGACTACTAATAATCTAATAGTAAAAGTAATCTGTTATATCTGGAGGGAAATATTTTTTAGTGAATTATTAAAATTTTATTGGATTCTATTGTTATGTTAGAGTGCAAATATATTCGATATAGCATATGAAGCTGTCGAATGGTTGATCGGTTTTCAAAAGACACATCCCTTTCACTCGTCTGGCAAGCAAATTTTGGAACTTGACGTGAATCATTATTCTTGTTACGTCTTTTCATCTGTTATCGACAGGAGTTGCTCAATTTCACGCTGTTCGAGACAGAGTGTTGTTAGTTCACTTGTTCAATTTTTCACGCAAATGACAGCTCGACAGTTGGTCAGTAATTCTATAACACATATGCAAATGAAAACAATGATGTGAACTTGAAACGAGCGCCATTGGGGGCTCACTTTTTCTTTTTTCTCTTCTTTTCTTTTCTGCTATTGCTCGATCGATACAATGGTCAACGAGAAAGTCGGTCAACGTGCATAGTGTCAATTTTAATCATGTGGTTCTATTTCTATCTATTATTCATAATAAGTCTGAATTTAAAATATGCAAATACCGCTGAGAATGAATTAAAATGTAAGATATTGAATCGAATTTCTTTTCCTTTTTTTTCTTATAGTGATAGTCTCATTTCAATTTTTAGTATACATGGACAATCAAACATTATGTAATCAAGAAATAATCAACTTGAAAAATATTCACAGAGGAAGAATTTATTCTCATATCGATTATCATGTAAAACAATAGCTGGAAATTTTATCTTTAAATTTAAAAATTTATATTTTTCATTCTTTATAGAATAAACATTTTTATTTTCCTGATAATCATTGTACAGTAACAATCAAAACTAAAAAACGTGTATGGATGTCTTTAGAATATTTTCAATCGAATTCTAGTTCATCATTTCCAAGATGTACTGATGCTAAATACGCTGGAAATGATGATCGATTGCAAATTATTGATGTAAGTACATTACGACTTATAGTTGTTTATTACACTTGATATGACAAAACTAGCTCAGTTTGACACGAACAAATTAACTTTTTTCGGATGCAAATCTGTAAAAATATGGTGAATTCATTGATTTGGACTGCAACCTACAGAAATAATTATTTGCACTTATTAAAAAAAAACTAATTCTCATAGTTTATACGTGAAATCTTGTCTAATTGATCCAGTTTCTTAGTTTAAGTTGATTCTGATCTATTTTTATTTGGACGTTTGTTTTGTTATTCATAATATGAATAAAAGAAAGAATAGAGATCAAATTTGAATACTGTTTTATCGAAAAGTTCCATCCGAAATTTAAGAGGAATCATTATGTTTTAAATCGGGTTAAGTAATTACTAAAAACTCAAAAAATAGAAACTTTTATCAATCCTTGCTGAAAACGCTTTTTTAACATTTATTTGATAGAATATAATACTGTATTCATACACACGACACAACAGTGAAGATGAGGATGCTATTTACTCCTTCGACTTTTTATTGTATATTCTTCGAAAGCCTGCAGAATTCAGATAGGATGTACTGTGCAATTATCTTGTGTAACTTCCAATTTATTAATAAACAATAAAAAATTATTATTGAAAAATATAGAGAGGGAGAACGGTAAGAGTGAGAAGTAAATACCTGCCACTAAATTATATTCTTTGTAAAAATATGCTAATTGCAATATAGGCAGGACTTGATCTGATCGTACAGGACACATTTCTAAAAGAGACAAGCCTGCACTCACTCAAACCTTAGCATTTGATTTATTTTACATAGACTTACATCTTCCATGAAGGAGCGAAGACAGTTACTAGCATTATTTGGGATCAAGTGGCAAAAATTACATCGTTTCATTTCGGCGTCTTTCGTACATTTATAACTTATTGAGAAATTGAGAAAATCGAAAATAAAATGTGTACTAAATAAGGGAAAAAACCTGTTTTTCTATTTAAATATGCGTTGCTTTTCAACTTGACCTTCTCATAATTATTTGTTTTTATACAAAATTTTCAGGTTACAAAATCATTTTTCCTTGTTGTCCTATGGCAAAACCAAGTAGTTCTTTGAAAAAAGCGAATAGATCCGCAGTATTTAGTTACACGTGTATGTTCTTCTTGAAGATATAATTTCTTTGTGTCTGAATCTTACATAAATTCTCAATCCGTAAGCGATTTATCAGTAGCAATCATTGCATGATGAATTCACGTTCAAAATCTATTTTTGTTTTTGAAAATAAAACAATTTCTTTATTTGAATAATGTCTAGGGTTATAAGAACGGTTCAATGCTACGCATTATATGTGGTAAAGATACTGATAAATTTTTTGATCGCACATCATTAATTCTTAAAAGTTCAATATTTACAATTGATTGGAGAACTAAAAGTCAATCGTTCGGTTTTGAATTGAAATTTGTTTTATACGATTTAGCAGTTGATGGCCAATGCTTAAATTTCGATCAGTTTCAATGTAAAAACAGACGTTGTATTGATAAATCATTAATATGTTACGATGAAGATTATTGCGGAGATAAGAGTCATGAAAATAGCTTAGAAAAAAAAACTCTTTGTGCAATGAGTATGTATTCGAAAACCGTCTTCTTCTAATCAGTATTTGTCGCTTTGTTTCTTTTAGAAATGTCTAAACCAAAACTAAGTCATGCACATCTTATATTTTTTCTAATAGCTTTGTGTTGCTGTCTATTCCTATGTATTTTAATATGTTGTTTGAAAAATTGTCAAAAGCAAAGTAAAAATAAAAAGCGGGCAGGCGGTTTGTAATTTCCTTATTATGCAAGATATTTTTTGCTGTTTTTTTAATGATCTAATTCAAATCGGATATTTGCAACAAAGAACTTTCTTGATATAAAGCAGCTTCACAAACATAGTTCAACATTAAGAAAAATAATCCCAGTCGTTAGAAAATTCAAAGCTATGATTAGTCTTCAGTTTATGTTTATACAAGTAAGTTTAGTAAAATAAGTTTCAAATAGATTAATTTTTATTGTATATATTAGTTATTACTTCGAATAGTTTCAAAACAGGCTGTAATGCAACCGTTTGACGGCGTTGATAATGATCATAATGAAAAAGTTGTTCAATTCTGTAGTTGTTTTTTTTTGGTAAAGGACTTTCTGAACAAGTTTTATTTGATAACGATAATAATGATCAGACTGAAAATATGGAAGAAAATTTTCTGAAATTGACGAAACGGCGTCCGCACTCAAAGGCTAATCTTGTTGAATTATGGGGTGTACGAACACGATTTTCTTGAAAGAGATGTCAATATTTTTTTTTGTATCATTAAAATATAAAGAAACATTATTATCTTTAAATAAAACTGATGAATACGAATCATTAATTTGAAATTTGAAACCGAATCAAATTTTTCTTATGGCTTGTAGCATTCTAAGTTATCTATAATATATTCATTAGGAAATATATTAATCAAATCTGAAGAAAATAGTATACATACAGTAACTATCGGATATGTTCACTTTTTTACTTGCTGAAAACAATTCAAACTATATAAAACAAAGAGGCAATTTCCAACAAAAATAAATTTCAAGTGTGCCAGCGATTTCTATGTTCAAATATAATATTTCAATTTTTGAATGTTGTTCCTCTGAGTAGCACGAAGTCTTCGTCAACTGGGAAGGTAGAAAATCGTGTAATGAATTAATTTTTATAGTTCAATCTGCACACCATCATATTTATGCACTGTAAGAAATGAAAAAAGCTCTCAGTTTCCTAAAAATTCCGTAGTGAATAATATTTTAATAAATTTTTATTTTCTATATTATTATTACGTGTCAAAGCTGCTGACGATTTTCTATCTTTTTATTAATTCTAGCTAACCCACACACGGATCAGACCATTGATGAATCATAGATTCAGATTTAGAAGTTTTTTAGGCCCGGCTATACTTTTTTCGCGTCCACGGATTCAATTCATTTATAAATTTTCCTCTTTGATCTTTCATTGTTTCCTCATATATCTAATTACGTTGACTATTCATGCCAACCTCTTCAGTCCTCTACTGGTCTAGTTCATTTTTATGATTCTTTCATTCGTCACTACGTAGGTTCTCTCCATTATTTGCTCTCAGTAAATCGTCATTCTAATCATTCACCAACTACTTATTTTGAAGCATGTAAATATTCAAATACATCTCAGATGTGGGTCTTCTCTAAGATACATTGAGCGGCAAACCCTTACAAAGTCAAGTTTATTCAATCATACTTTAATATTGGTTTGCTGAATGTTCAAAAGAAAAAGAATGAATGATGCTCAATGCGCAATTATTTCTCGATGTATTTGCACATCTATCTTTATTATCATCCTTGTAGAAGTTGTATTGTCTGCATGAGTTATATACTGTTACTTTACAACCTTTTATCTTGAAGTTTAATTGAAATTTTATAACACTGTTATATAAATGTTCAAAATCAAATCTGAGATTATAAAAATATTACTTTGGCAAATAATTACAAAGCTGAATGGATTCAAAAAGTACCTAAGTCATTTATGGTTAACTGAATATTTGAATAATTAAAGTTGTTTTAACTCAAGGAGACAGCATGTTATTACTTAATAAATCTTGAATTCTTATGCCAGTCTTTGAGTTGTAGAAAACAATCATTCATTTCGTAAGACAGATTGGTGAAAAAAATAAAATAGTCATCAACATCTACATTTTATGTTTTTTTTTATAATTAGGGTAAGTGTGGATTTGTTTGGTCTTTTAAAAATTATTCTTTGAGTGTTACAAAAGAAAAGAAGAATCTCAAAATATACGTTGTTGAATAAATTTTATTTTTGTCTTCCTTGAAAGTTTATTAGGCAAAAAAAAGAAAACTATTGATTTCCTAGAAAAATAAGTTTAGAAGATATTTTAATCTGAATTCAAGGTGATATTGTAAGAAGCATTTTGAAAATATCTAAGACTTGTAAAGGAAACAGCAGTCACAAAAAATAGATTATTTTATTATTTCTCTTCAAAAAATGAAATCAACTACTGAAGAGGCGATATTGTTATCTTCACAAAGAGATAAAACTAGAAGTTACTAATTAATTTTGTCTTAGTTCTGTTATAGTTTATTTTATGAACTTATATGAATTTCTACAAAATTCTTAATCCTGAAATTGGAAATTCAAGTAGCTAACTAAATTGACACAGTAAACATCAAACTAGAAGAAAACAAGATCAATCAATCGTAGTTTATTGCGAGATAATTACTTGTATATTGCAAACATTTTTACTTCGCTTTTGAAAAATTTTTCTTTTGGGCTATCATCGAATAAAAATTATTCGAACAATTTATGAATTCTCACTCATTTAAGTTTAAAGATAGTAACATGCAGAAGTCTACAATAATTTATAATACAATAAAACCTGTGATCACCAATGTATTTATAAAGACAAGCAGTTCAGCAGTGACTTATATATTCTGTATTGTTCATTCAAATCTTTGAATTTGAGATAGATCAGCATCTAAAAAATCAGCAACATTTTGATTTATTGTAGTGAGAGAAAAAGAAGAGGATGTCATTTCCATCACTGATAGCAAAAAATTTTGAATAAGGCTTTACACAGCAAAAATATCCAAGCCGACCTTGTCTCATACTGAAAACAAGTGAGTTTTTCGGAAGAGAAGCCTAAGTCCGATATTTATTTTCCATTTTTCGCTGTTCTTGTGTCTAATCGAGTATATTCAATTTCTTAAAAAAGTTTCATTGTAGCGAATCGGTTGTTTTCGTAGCACAAGCGTGTCAAGATTGGATTCACGGTAGAATCCATTTCTCAAAATCATTTTTCTATTATTTAAAGAAGATTCAGTTCTGTAAATAAATTATTAGCGCTCAAGTTATACACTTCGTTAACGCTCTAAACACAAGAACTATTAAATTTATAGAATGAGAATTCACAAACCACATAGGTCGCCAAATGGAAGAGTCGTCCTAGTATGTCTTTATAATAGAACTAAACTGTTTTAGCGTGTTGTCTTCGAATCAAGAGAGATGCTGTATTAAAATACAGTGGATAGAATAAGGTGTTTAGAAAAAAAGTGGTATTGTTCAAAATGTAATTATAAACTAACAACGTTTCTGTATCTGATATTTGCTTTTGTTTTCGTGAATATAAAAGTGTCTATAGTGAACAAGGAAATCGAACAACGACTTTTATTAGTCTTTCCATTAACTATTAAATTATTTACAGATGCTTTGACTACCAGGAAATATGTCACAGGGAAATAATCGACCAATGCGAATCAGATATCAAAGTTTCTTCAAGTTTGCCCTTTAACTGTAGTTACCGTTTAGTTGGAAATAAAATAGAAGCGCGAATGAAACGCTAGATTTTGGCATACAATATTGTTTTTTTTACTCATTTCTATAACAAGAAAGTTTCCGCAACAGAAGAAGATTTTCTCTAACGCTTTTCGACAAAATTTGATTACGAATTATGTTAGTTTTTCTTATGCTTCATTTCTCCCATAACAAGATGATCGCTCTCGGTATTTTGTGCATGTTAGCAATTTCTGTCAATTCACAAAAGCTACTACCCAAAGTGCAGCAGTCACTGTCTACAATGCAACAGCTAGCTCAATGAATATTTTTACTACAGCGTACACTCAACAAAGTAGCAATACAACACAATCTTCATCGAGTACCAGTATTAACCAAAAGCAGCCAATTGCTATAATTTTATCAATGATTGGTACTTCCTTTTTATCATTGAAATACATGAATCGAATGATATAATTTAAAAGAAATACACGAAACAAACGAATCTACACATATGAATTGTCGATTTTTCTTGTTCTATCCAGCTTATTTTCATATCTCATATGTTGTCGTTTATTTTCTTATTGATTCATATAAATATTGAAAATTCTCATTTAAAACTAAAATCTTGAGGTGAGGTAGCCAATTTTCTAACGCAGAATTCAATCCTTATTCTTTACTATTGATATGTAGTTTCTTACTAGTAACGCTTTTATTTACATCAAGAATTAATTAAACAAAAAAATTATGCAGATCGTTAGATAAGAAACCGAAAGATATAGAGTTCGTAATATGTGTATCTACACATAGATTCTTAATATAATATATGAATTGTATAGTTTGTGATATAATTAATATTTTTAGTGTTCTGTTGTACAACAGAACACTATTTTTATATCTCAGACATGTAGTTATTTTCATGACAAAAATTAGGCAGTCTGTTGATAAGTTTATGAATAAGATTTATGGTTCGACGAGTACAGTTATAGGAATATATGTATATATTCAATAAAAAAAACAATTGAATGTAAATCAAGACCAGTACCTATCACATTCTATTGTGTTATCTATATCAAAATAGACCGAAGTTTATACGTCCAGGAAAACAAAAGAAAACTAAGACGTCACTCCATTCTATTGTTTAAAAACAAGATATAAGACTCCGATTTCATTCAGTTAGACTATGTTATACATTATAGGATGATAAAGCGAGTATGTCTGTGTGCTGTTATTTTTTTTGGTACATTTCTATTTCTATCAGTGATAAAAGCTTGAAATAAGTGAAACTTTTAACACACTTATTATATGAAAAACAGAAGATTGTCTCTGGAAAACTTTTACAAATCAGACAAAAAATCACTAAGATAAATTTATTACCATCGATTGAACATTAATTTAAGCAAACAGTTAGTACTGAAGCATTTCAGATATTCTTTCTAGAAAACGGAACTATGTCGCGTGAACTTATGATTGTTTTTTTTACCATCTGGTTGATCCTACCAATTTCAAAGATAGAAGCAGAAGACAACGTTATGGATCTTACAAGTATGCCGATGAATAGTGATGCTACCACAGAGCCAATATCTCTGATGAATTCTTCAGATATGCCAGCAAGTTCAATATCCATGGAAATACATACAAAAAGTATCGATAGCACCACAATATCACAGTGGAATCATGGTATTGCTGCAAATTCATATAACTTTGTTCTTATTCTTTTTCTTTCGTTGCTTTTATTTGTATAAATAAATAGTTTTGCATCTAACATTGAATCATTCTGAGCTTTTTTTTACAAAAATTAATAATTCTAGGTATACAAATAATCAGACGACGACAACAACACATACATCGGATATCGTGAAAGTTTGACGATTATACTTTATGCCTTGAATTTATGTCGACGAATATTGTGGAAGACTAATTTTCATTCACAACATCTACCATGATAGATTTTATGTCAAAGTTTCGTGGCCGAATATTTTTCGTCTTATATTATCGTTTCATGAAGTTTTAGTTTTGCAATCTCACAAGAGTATTACATAGTATATATTTTGAATGAAAAATAGTCTTCTACCGTAATAACAATAATAAATATAGATACAATTAAAAGAAAATAAGCCTTGAAGTCTTTTCTCACACCGGACATGCATATATGAAACACTAATATTAGACATTAAGGAAGTCTGGCTTTTTCATTAAGCAAAAAATATTTTATATAAAAATAGATGTCCCTGATAATAAAAAATATTACTGTTCTATTTTATGTGTTCAATATAGGGTGACGACATGTGTCATAAAATGATTAATTCTATTAATTTTTACGTTCATGTTTTGTTAATTAAAAAAATCATTATTGCTTTTGCTCTTCAATAATAATCATCATCAGATACTACAAATAATTCATCATCTGTTCGACTGCCACTATCACATGGATAAGAATTGAATTTATTTTTAGTTTGTGATACTGTTCGAAAATATTCAACATCTTCTAAATGTATAATAGAGAAATTAATGAAAATTAAAACTTATTATTGTTCTTGTTGTTACCGGTATTTAATTGTTGAACAAGTGATGACATAGCTGAAGTTAATGAATCAGCTGCTAGAAGAAGATTAGTTTGTACTAGAATAAAAATCAAATTTTAACTATAGTAAAATTGATTCATCATACAATGACTGATTAATTGATTATGAACTGGTGTTGACGGCGTTGAATAACTTCGTAATGCAGTCTTTTTTGACTTTAATGTACGAGTATTCATACGTGATGGTGAATCATTTAAACGATTACTTGAACGAAATATTGTCGATCGTTGTTGTAAATCTGGAGAATAAGATGGAGTTCGACAGAGATGATCTAACTGTGATGCTAGTTCTTCTCGGCTCAACTGCAACTCATGAATACGAGATTCTAGTTGATGTTTACGTGTTAACAATATTCTTAGTTCATGTTCAAAATATGGATTTTTATTAGCTACTTCAACTGAACCAGCGCGTCTCCTTTGGTCGCTACGATTTGATGGTATTGAAGTGAATTCATGGCGAACATTAGAACGTGGATTAGGCAATGTTTGGCAATAGTTTTGTTCGAATGGAGTAGAAAGATTTGTATCGCTGTAGGCACGATAATCACTAGTACGCATGTTAGTCAAAGATTGATGTTTGATTTTAGCACGTAATTTATTTATTTCATGCATAATACGTCTAGAAATATATAAATCAAACTTCCTTTAATCGAATCATGCAATATTGTGTGATAAGAAATTATTCTCGGCTTCGTTTTGAACTGAACTAGAGGGTCTTAATGCCTCGATTGACTTAATATGATAACTCTTTCCGTCTATACGTGTAGGGAAATGCTTCACGATTGGTCTTTAGCGTGATCAATTAAAGTATGATTTGAATTTTCAAGCGAATGAAAAAGCTCGTATAGTGACACTCAATATTCATCGTATACTAAATGGACTTCTGTGTATCTTTCTATCATCTTCATATGATTCTAAATGTGCCATTTCAATTTTCGCGAAACAATTTTCTCATTTTTATAGTTTATTTACTTTGTTGGACTAGAAATATAAAATATGATGTGTCACAATTTCGTCAAATATGTGACATGGTGAACTAATTTTTTCCTAATAAAGGAACTACATAGATAGAATTAAACCTCAGTATCAGCCGTAATTCTACATATTAAATTCATCTCGAGAAAAAATAAGGGTCAATTTTAGACCCATCCTAAAAAGAACACAGTACGTCGGTTTATATATGAAATTATAAACCATCGAGTTAATTAATGATCTTATTTACAGATCAAAGTTAACGTAGAGCACTCAGTCCTGTTTTCTTTCTATAAACATACATCATATTAAATATTTGCCTAGTTCCTCCCCCCCCCTCCCCTGTCCTCAGGCTATAAAAGATATAACTATAATCATATAAGAGATCTTGCATGCATAATGTCTCGTTACAATATATGAATTATCTCCTTTATCAATGGTTAAGTAAAAGGACGACAAAGAAATATTTCTCAAAGTAGTCTCTTTTAGATTAAAAACACCGACAACATCCGTGTTTTTCATAATCTAAACCCAAATAAATTACTCTCTGGGCTAATCCTATTACCGATTTTCTGCTTCTAGTTTTGAGATCAGAAGTTTTTTCTCTTGACTTTGATGATTAGTAATCGCCCGTCGAGATTGATGAGAAGAAAATTTTCTTTCTGATTGAATCCCAGTCGGATTGAATTTTTGTTTGTCAACATTTAATGAAAGTTGTTTAGTGTAAGAAGCTATTTGCTTGTGTTCATCAATATCAATTTTTTTCGGCTTATTTTCATAATTTTTGATCAATTGTTGTTTATTTTTTGTAATAAAATTTTCTTGTGATAGTTTCTGTTCTTTATCAACCGTTAATGAATTGAAATATTGGCAAGGTCTTTCATTTTTAGGAATACACTGCAAAGATCTAGAAGAAAAAAATTTTTTTTTTATAACAAACAAAGTTGTAGGTTTTTTTTAAAATTACTGTCGAAGTGAATTTCGACAATGCTTATTTGGTGATATAAAATATGTGTATTCTTTCATTTCATGCGTTGATAAATGTTGATCTGAAGTTCTTCCACGCCAAAAACAATCTTGACATAATTGATATGTTCGTTTAGTACACTGTAGACATTTATAACGAAAACCAGAAAACGATGGACGTTGACACGCTGAACATTTTACACGCTGAATAACTTGAGAAGAAAAAGAAATAAAAGCTGTTGGTTTTTTTTGTCATCTTTTATATAGAAAAAAGTTCTGCTCAGTTCGCTTTGTTACAGCATATGGTTTAAATTCAGTTCAAAATGTAGTAGAAAATATACATCATTGCAGAACCAGATCATTAAAAAGAAAATACTTACCATTTTCAACACTAATCAAACGATGAAATAAAACAACCCATTGTAAACAGATGGGTGTTTTATTGTTGTAGAGTAATAAATCAAGAAAACTGTCAAAATCAATTGATGTTGATGATTTTGAAAATATCAATTGAGCATAGTTTCTACTTAATGTTGAAAGTGGAATTTCTTGTAAAGCATATGGCAACGCAAGAATTTCATGTAAAAGTTCATCTATTTGCGCGTAAGTTAATGCATTTGACGATGATGTTGATAGACTACAGACAAATAAATGATGAATTTTATCAATTAATTTGCCAGTACATAGAAGTGTAAGTACAACACGAAATGAATTAAAACGTATGGACAATGTATCACTTTTATAAACATATAATAACCAAGCTATAGCCGATTGAACACATTTATCTATATGAGCAATTTGTCGAGATAATGGTAAACGTTTATTTAAATTTGTATAGATTGATGTTAGAAAAGATGTTAAATGATTTATTGAAAGACATTGACTAGTGTTTGATAAATGAGACTGACTGTGTGTTGGTGAATCGAAATTGACTGAATGTTTATTATGTGAACTTGATTGAACCGATAAACTTGTTAAACATTCTCGAAGAGATTCAATTACATTTAATAAATCGAGGAGATGAACTAGAATGAATAGAAATAAGCGAAGATTTGCCCATCAAAATAAAGAAACACTCAAACATGTATCAACATTTTTAAGAAGACAATGTCAAAGAGTTCATGCCATTGAAAATGTCCATATTTTTCCGCATTACTATAAGGTCATGTTAAAACTCCTGTTAATTTGCGACTATCAGTAAGGACAATCACCGTATAAAAAGTGTTTTGAAATCAATTTCAATAAACTTACAATTGAGTTTTTTTTGAATAAAACGTAATTTACATGCAATTCGATATATTGAAAATCGAATAATATCAAAATTTTGAGCACCTATAAATCAAAAGATATCTAGCTAATTAAATTCTGAATTCTTAAAACATACGTAGCTCCATTTGTAACTGTTGTAATTCATTACTGAAGCTTGTATTCATAGTCATATTCAAAATAATCGATGGCACAAAACTTGTCTGATCCTTATATACAAGAAGCAAGCAACAACTCTTTGATGAACAAATGAACGAAGAAAAATATGGGGCTTAAAAGAAGAAAAAAGAAAGAAAATGCATCCATTGGCTCTTGTTACTGTTTCCTTTCCGTTCAAATAGGAGGCGGAGATGGCGCTCGATTTTATTCAGTGAAAACAAAAATATATAGATACATTTCATTTCAGAAGAATTTACATTTCTACACTTCGACAGTATGCCTACTAATAGAATCATCAGTTGATCAATAATTCTATCATAACAAGTATTAATCATATACGCTAAAGTGTTCGGAGTAGGAGGAGAGGTGCGACAACACTGTGTATCGTCGTATGTGCTATCATTTTCTCGTTTCTAATGTTTTGTATATCTCTCATTTTAGTTAGCTATTTCTTTTTCGCTCTTGAAATTCGAGATGTAATTGTATTATAGTTTGAATGCTAAACAATTAATAATTGATATAGTTGTCTCTTTGGGAGTGTTCTATACAAGAATTTGCATCTATGAAATAGATTATTTTACTGCTCTAGTCTTTAATATCAGCTACGAAAAGAATATTTACTACTTATCTGATACTGAGATTAGCAAGCAACAAGATGTCGCAGGATTTAAACTGCCAATCTTGAAAAACTTTTATTTACAAACAGTGTTCCATTATTGTTGTTTTCTTACAGAGAAGCTAAATGAATTGTGAAACTTCGAAATATAAATCCATTCAAAAGGAACAAAAGAATTTTGGTTGACTTTAATATAAACATCGCCTGTATATCTTGATTTGATGATAGTTACGATGGAAAACCAAATCCATCTGTTGTAAAGAAGAAAACACTCATTCGAGCAATACAAGCGATTCGAATGACTCGACATGAGTTTTTCATCTTAAATACATTTTGATACATATCGAATTACTTGCATAACGATTTTATTTCGATGAATTTTTTCACAAGTCTCATTCTTGTCAGTAAACTATTCATAAATGAATACATCTAGTATAATGAATAAAATCATTATGCCCCAAATTGAAAAACGTTTTTGTAAAGATAAAATATTCTTGCCAAAAGAATCCATGGCAGATATTTTATTTTCGATTGTTCAATTTATGATGCATATATCGAAAGATTTGAAAAATGGTCAAATTATTTAAAACTATTATTAGTAATCTGATTAGACTGTCTATATTGCTTCCAGCAATTCTCTAACAGTTGTTCGATCTTTGGCAATAAGTGTAAGTTGCTGTTTATATCCGGTTAGACTAGTAATGTTCAATTTGGTTTTCTCTCAAAATAAAGTATGCGACTGACTTATTCTTTTAAAAAAAACCCATTGTGTCGGTAGTATTTTATAAAATCTTTCCTTAGTAGCGTTTTTGTTATTGCTTGATGGTGATGATTGCATTTCAGATAGCTCTTTCCTAAAACGTTTCTCCGACTGACGACTATTACTAATGCTAGTACCATTGGAGGTTACTGAATTCTTTAGTATGCGTCTCAAAGGAATGTTGTTTTCGAATAAGTGCTAATACTTGTTCTTAGTGGTTCGTTATGCACTTCCAGCACATTAAAGTGATAAAAACGACGAGAAAAAGAAACTGAAGATAAAGAGACATATGTATAGGAATATAAAAAAAACGGTATCAACGATATAAGAGTAAATCTAGCTTCTGTCAATACGTCCGAAAGAATGAGTGTTATTGATAAAAGGTGTATCACACGCACATGAAAAGAAAAGATAAGAATAAAAAGAAAAATAATAATATCTGTTTTTTGTTCACTTCATCAAGAAGTAAATAATATAACACCTTAGTGAATTCTCAAAATGATTAAATTCAATAAAACATTTTTCTTCGTTGTTCTATTATTTTTGACTTTTATTCTTTTATTTTTATCAACCAATATTCAACGAACAGTATTAAATAAAAGTCAAGTTGATGACTATGAATTATCACGTATTGAAAGTGATGACTTTTTCTTTGAAACCAATAATGACTGGAATCGTCGAAAAGAATTATTTCATCTTCAACATAATCGTAATCAATATTTTAATAGCCCAAGCATGTTTTTTCAAGATAATTATGAGCCAACATTTTCCTGTCGATTCGAGCAACGTCTCGGTATAAATGGTGATGGCGGAAAATGGATATGTGATGTTTATCGTTTGAAACAATTGAAATCCTGTTTAATTTATAGTCTTGGTTCAAATGGTGAATTTAGTTTTGAAAACGAAACGAAACGGTTTTTGCCCAACTGTGATATACATACATTTGATATGAAAGTATTTAATTGTACAAATATTTGTACATTTCATCAAGTTAAAATAGGTGATGGAATCAATGAAACGAAAACGTTACGAATGCTTATGTCTGACTACGATCATACTCAACGATCTCTTGATATCCTTAAAATTGATGTTGAAGGTAGTGAATATGAATTCTTCGACGAACTATTTAGCAAAAAGGATCATGTAAGTGAAAATATACGTCAGATACTTGTTGAAATACATCTATCAAGGATACTGAAGCAGGTTAATAATGTAACGGTATATGATTATGAAAAAATTCATCGACTATTCGAATTATTTCATGAAAATCATTTTGTTATATTTCACAAAGAAGTTAATTTATACAACCCACATAATGCATTCGAATTTAGTTTCATAAAATTAAATAGAAAATTTTTCGAAAATAATAATCAATCAACAACGCCATGAAATATATGACAACATTCATCTGTGGAGATATGCCTTGTTTCTTCGACAATTATTCAATCTCATTGTCGTTTTAGCTTGTTTCGGATTTTTAATATTATTCTATTGTTTTTTTTTACAGTCAATAAAGAATGTTCATACAGTATATGTTTGACGTGAGTGTTACAGTATCATGAGTGGTTTTTGAATCGTCGATTTTCAGAGTATCACACACGCTACGTTGCTTCCTTGTTGTTCTATAACATGAAATGTATTGAAAATTCATTCCTATGCTTTCTCTATTGAAAAATACTGATAGACTTTTATTAACTCTGTATAACTGAAGTATCACTCCACTATTAGGCGCATTGTCATAATTATTGCTTCGTGTTATATTGATGTATTGTATATCTAAATGAATGCTTTTCAATTATACTTAACAATCAAAATATATTTCTTTTTTTGTTATACTTCATATTTATTGTTGATTCATCGTCACTAAACAATAGACCTAATGAAAACTAACTTGGTCTCTTTTTTGTACACGGATACTACATCAAATCAAGAAATACGGATTTTATGGTATAGCTACTCATATCTTGCGATTATATCCTATATAAGCTTTCAGAAAGGTACCTTGAGTATAATAATATGCTAATGATAGTAATAGCTAGTTCAGCAGACAAGATTCATAAGCAACAAGCATAGTGACATGTGTTACAAGTCCCAATATACTTTATATATTTAATGTTTATATAAAGTTGATTCAAATCATCCTTTGAAAATATGAATAATAAAAAAATCATTGCCATCGGGCGTCATTGAGCGAACTCTATCCACCATTTTCTTTCTGATTGGTTAGAAACTGTACTCAAATCATAACTAGTTTATTTGTAGTGGTGGTGGTGGTGCAACAGGATAATATTGTCTTATTTATTTCTATCAGATTAAACAGTTCTAATAGAATCATTGTAGATTTTTACTTAAAATCAATAGTTGAACAATGCGTTTCTCATTACGTCGATTAGGTATGGAATGGGGTAAAATTGGTCATCAACGCGGCAAAGTACTCTTTTGTTGTTATTAATATATTTTGCTTATATTTTCGTTACTTTTCCATTAAGGTTGAATATACACTTTCAGCGTATCAACAAAATCCATATGCTGGCGTTTTCGGTGAAGTTTCATATCGTTATTATTCTCGACTTTTCAAAACTCTTATCACTATATGGGCACCAAATGCACTACTTGGATATTCAGTTTACACATGGGCCAATTGGGAATATGATCGTTGTTCTCGAAAACTGCCCAGTCAATTTGCTAATGAGAAACCAGCAGAAGCTGGCAGCGAATAAAAATAAAAAACTATTCATCCTATGAAATCCAGTTCCTAAATCCTTTTCTATGATGCATCCCGTATTCTTTTTGATAATCATGTAGGCTAAGGCTCATCATGCCATCAAACATTGTTTATTTAAATAAAGTAGAAAATAAAAAAACAAGAAAAATAATCTAAGACTTTTAATTAAAAAGAAAACACGAGTATTTCATATTTGTAGATTATTTCAAGAAGAAGGAAAAAAAACTTACAAAATGTCAGGTATTCTTTTTTAAAAACTATTGTGAACTATAAGAAAAAGAACCATGAGTCTCCTTCAGTTCCTGTTTTTATTCAAACAATAGAACAATTTTTTCTTTCTTAGTATCATTCATTTAAGCGTGAATATTTCTCACTGCGAGGGGTGTCCAACGACCGAGAATTAGGAATTCCTCCTTAGTTCCCCTACAGTTCATTGTATACTAAAGATAAAAATATGGAATATTCACAATAATTTTTGTTCTTATACTTATCTTCACCTACAAAATTGTGAGAATCAATAGTTCCGTGCACAAATTATTTTAAAAAGAGTAATATCGCGACTTTCGTGAATGGTGGAACTGTGAGGGAACCAATGGTTGATTCCCATTTTCTCTAGGAATTATCACAGCGGCACTGACAATTCCTAGGCAGATTGGGAATTTCTATTTCTCAATTCTTGGACATTGCTGGGTTACTTAGTATCTGTTATGGTAACGTGAAGTGACTGTTAATGTCTGTAACTGGTAGAGGAGCAGTAAAACATTTCGCATGTAATTCTTAGACTCATCGTTTTCTTCGAAAGTATATTTGAGTTTTACAAAAATGTGATTGTCTGAGTCAAGCTTCTTCCAGATATGAAGGTTTCAAAACGTACATGTGACATAATCGATCAATGAAAAAAGAGTTATAGGTGAGAATTCGTTTATCTTGAAGAGATTTTATTTTTCGAATGAAAACTAATTCAGCTAGGCTCTTCATGTACTCAATGTTAAATACGAGTTTGTCGAAAATATGTTGTCTTGTTAGGAACTATGTGTTTCATATTCGATCGTTTGATAAAATATGAATGAGAACGAAAATTCGTTGAAGAGTTAAGTCATAATGAGAAATCTGGCACTTCTATGACGCGAACTGATTTATAATTTTTCAGGAGATTGAATTGAAAATATGCTAAAAATAAGCTTAAGTTTTTTAATTTGAGCCTTTCTGAGAACAATATGAAATTTTACACAGAATAATTACTTGCACTTTGTTTTTCTATAATAGATTTTTATCAATTGACAACTTCAACGTCGGACTTTAAATCACGTTCAAAGGATGTATTTGAAAAACTAACAACTCTTGAAAAACAACACGACGTACATATTAAGACGAATAGTCCTCTCTTAGTACCTGACGAGGAAACACCTTCATCATCTTATAAAAATCCAAATATTCCAAATAATGCAATAACATTTAAAAAACGAGCCGCTGACGATACATTTATTCGTTCAGAGACTAAATGGAAAAAATATGATTTGGATGATGTTAATGAACATCATTTAAGTGGTACGGGTAATCAACATGCATTAAATGATTTTCTTCGTACACGAGTTAAGTGTTCAAACAAGAATGAATCTGTACAGAAAGAAGACGAAGACGAAGAAGTTCCTGTAAGACCAATTTTTCAACGTCCAACGAAAAAACAAATACGAACAAATGATACTGATGATGACATAAATCATGATTTTATATCTTTTCGTGTACCAGCGCCTCCAAATACAACTGAAACAAAGACTGGAAATGATGATGATGATGATGATAAAACCATCGAGTATAAATTGAAATCGAATCGCAATAAACCTCGTGGTGTTTTCAGTACAAACGAAAAAAAGTCGATTAAACCTGCCAATGAAATTCTTCAAGAAAAAGATAATGACGATGATGATCATGACGATGAAGAAGTTGCTGATGAAATTTTCGAACCTTAATTATTATTTTTTTGTCTTTTATCACAGCTAAATATTTTCATTTTCATCGTTGTTAAATAGCAAAAAACACATAAAAGCAAAAACAAAAAAAAGAAACTTTTTTTGCTTTTTTTTTATCTGATACATATCAAGGTACACATACATATATATATATATACAAATACGGTGCTTGCAAGCTTTTATTCACGACTAGAACAATGAAACACAAGAAAGGAAAATTTTCACATCTTTTTCATCTAATATCGAATTTTAATTGTAAATAAAATTAAATCGACTCAGTGCTTGTGGTAAACTTGAGATAATTGGGCCGTAGCCTGATGCATTATCATATAATTCAAATAAAGGTGCAGCTACTAGTTTGTAATTACGTGGTACAGCAAACATCGATGATTCACCAAGTTGAACAAGATATAAACTAAATTAAAAGAAAGAAGTTCTTATAGTAACAATCCATAAATCATAGGATACAGTACAAGAAATGACTCTGATAATCATGTCGACTTTCTACATAATAGAACACTATAAAGAAAGTCTAAGTCATATTGATTCCTACTGGCTTGACATGTAAAAAATGATGCTGTTATTCACAAGGAAATAATTTTACTCTATGTTTTCAGTATTGCTACAACTTTCTAGTGCATACGCAGAAGAACGAAATATCTACTTGTATTATATAACATTCATTTTAGATCATCTTTCATAAAAAAAATAGACTCGTGAATGCCGAAATCAGTTGAGAAAGTCAATAGGAATATGCCTGTTATTTTGCTTACCGAATATGTTCCTTAGGTTTTGTTACATGAGCAGGAACATAAGGATAACGTGGTGCTTCAAAATTAGGACGCCACCAATTACCAATAACATCTTCAATAAGCCAATTATTCTGTTGAACAGAATCAGGTCGACCTAATGTTTCGTTCAGTAAACGCTTGAGACCTTCCATTGAATCTTCACCTGGATTAAGTTCACCACCTGAAACAAAATAAAATAGTTCTTATTGAAAAGAATTTGTTCAAAAAATCTTACCAGGTAATTTAAAAAATGTTGTTCCCAATTGTAGAAGAAGTACATGAGGTAAATTATGTTCATGTACCAATAAAACAGCTTCGACGCTACGTCTCATACCCATTGTTGTAAATTCTTCACGCATACGTTGAAATCGTGCTTGAACCGAACTATCACGCTCATATAATGGATCTTTTGTACCAAATGTATAATTGGTTAATGGATATGTTTGAATAGTTCGCTCAAATGTCATGGATTGAGCTGTTTGATCATGATTATGAATAGATATGGGAGATTTCAATGTCGAATGTATACTATTATTTTGGTTTGATACAGATGATGAAATTAAAGGAGTATTAACTGAATCAGAATTGGAATTTGTTGGAGATGATGTTATTGAATTAACATCTGTCCAATTTGTACGAACTAATTGAGTGGAATTATTTATTGCATTCGTTATTGCAGACATAATTTTCGTATTTTGTAAGGACGTTAGCTTAAATCAATCGCAAGTTTTGAACGAATGTATTTCAGATGAACAAAGAAAGAAGAAAAGAAAAACAACAACAACCAAGCAAACAGATACAACCAATCGTCAATGATGTTGTTCTATATTATATATATATATATACACCATAAGAAAAAACTAATCATAGGTGACATCTATCAAGATTGAATTTATACTTCTCACCTGTGTAACTGCAAATATTTTTTAATTTTCGAGAAATAAAACATCACTTTTATTTTAAATAGATTTCGAATTATTCAAAATTTAGTTATTTTTTTCATGCAAGCGCTTAGTTATGGTTATGGTTATGTTCTCTAATAATTCTTCGTATTGAACGAGCTAAACCAATACCAACAGCTCAATTATGTCGTCATGGCTTAACAAACTTTACTTTTTTAATATATAGCTATATCAGTTGTAACTGAATTATTTCTATTCATATCTTATCGCTGATCCGTATGACTTTTTCAACTAATAATTAACCAAGATCAACCACCTGAAGAAATTCATTTAGTTCGTTTTTTTCCATTTATATTCGAACTCGAATTAGGCAGCTACTCGGACGTTTTGGGGTAATTTCGACCCAATTGGAAAAATACATCAGTCCAATCTGAAAGTTTCTTGAACCACAGAGCGCGTTGTTCTATCGTTTCTACAAGTTTCAGTTTAATCCACTGTGTATAAGGTCAGTTGTGATCTCACCCATATGAGTATCATTTGGGTACACTGATTGAATTTTGAGTCGGTACGTTTTCACCATAAAAGGAAATACTTTGTATACCCTTCGACACAGAATTTAACTCTGAACAAAACTGTGTCTAG